ATAAAAATGATATTAGATATGAATACAAAAATAATTTTATTAGATATATTATATAAAGTATTTTCAAAATATTATCTTATATAATTAATATACAATATATATTTTATTTAATTATAGGTCAAAGGTTGAAAATGGTTGATTGAAAAAAGTCAAAAGTGAACAAATACTTTAGAACGGAGGTAGTATTCACCACTTTTAGGAAGACAAATTCTATGGTGACCTAAGCCCACCATGGACCTACATATGAGCAAAATAAGTATTTTTCTATTACTTAAATAAGTATTTTTTTTAATTAGAAAGATTTTAAATAAGGTTTTTTATGTGAGAAAATATACAAAAATAGTATGTACTAAAGGTACACCATAGAAGCGCTCTTTTAGAAAAATTAACAAATTTCTTCCCGTGCAACGCACAGGTATGAATCTAGTGGAAGATGAAAATCAAAAGATGAAAGATCAAATAGCCTCTCTAACTTCCAAATTTGGTGATCACAGTTCAGGCCACAATGATCCCATAAATGGTGGTGAGTTTCATGAAGATTCAAGGCAAGATTCATCATTTAAAGGGTGCATGACTTCTAAAGTACCGAGACATGATGCATTGATAAGAAGGAGTGAGCATCGTGAAGGTTCAAGGCATAAGTGCATAACACACCCAATCACCTTGATTTATCCCATGATTCACCATGTACGAGTGGTGGTTCTTATGAAGGCTTAAATCATGATGATATACACGCCAATCATGGTTCAAAGTACAATTCATCTGTAACAAGTGGTTCCCTTCATTTCTTTAGTATCTCAGGCATAGACAATTTATTGTGTATTATAAGTACATGTTTGTTTTTGTAATTGATTTTTATGGTTTCTTACTTTGTGTCTTATGACTGCAAATCAGAAAGAGATACAGATTCATTCAAAAAAAAGAAATCATCAAGAGCAAGGTGGATTCCAAAAGCAAGTAGCGACTATACCGGTAAAGGTTTTTGATGAATGTATTTTAATAACTCGAGGAATATTAAATATAGTAGTGATCATGACTTATACTTGTATTTATCATGTGCACTTGTTGAAGTCATCAACTACTACAAAAGTTGTTTCTCACAATGGTAAGGATGGACAACACAAGGTTTCTCAAGTAGCACCCACAACTAGTGCCAGTGTCACGGCTATTTTGCAACCACAAAAATGTACTCTTGTTAGGCATAGTGTAACCCATCAAGAAATCAACAAGGTATGTAATTACATTGGTGTAGCTTTGTACCGCATATAATACGATAATTGACTATGTTATGAAGTATATTCTATTTATCAATTAGGATCATATAATTAGAATGAACAAGGTAGGAGGTATCAGATCTAATACTACCCCGAAGATTTTTTATGCATGCAAGGAGCAAAAAACTTCAGAAAAATAAAAAATCCCCTTACTTTGAATATGAATCCTGTAAGTTTATTTCTTCTAGGTAGTAATATGAATTTCCATTTAAAATATTGCTCATTTTAACTTTTCCTTGATGAATAATTGATTGAGATTTATTATTTTTTGGTCCAGTTATCTCGAGCTCAAATAGAATTATTGGTGGACAAACTGCTAAAGGATTACCCTCATGAACTACAAAAATATCGATCTCCAGCAAAAAGAGAATTTTTTCTTCTGTTAGTAGAGGGTGTGGTAAAAATTGAAATTAAATTAATAGTTCAAAAGTTTTCTTTATATTTTTGTTCTTTTAGAAAATCTTATGTGTGTGTGATTAATATCTGCAGGCTACTGGTTTTGCAAGAATAAGGCAGAACCAAATCTGTTAAACACAGTACTACTTGAAAAGCTCGAAAAATCTATACTTGTAAGTACATTATATTGTATATATATGCTGGTTTTTACAGTCATTGTGTTCAGTGTTCAGTTTTCTAAGTTTACAGTCATTGTTCAGTTTTCTGGGTTCAGTGTTCAGTTTTCTGAGTTACAGTCATTGTTTTTCAGTGTTTAGCTTTCTGAGTTCAGTGTTCAGTTTTCTGGTTTTTGAATGCTAGTTTTTACAATCATTGTGTTCAGTTTTCAGAGTTTAACTTGAACCAAACTTGGGCATTTGATATCAAATTTGAAAAGAAATTAAAAGAATCGCGGTAGTTAAGAACCAAACTGATTAGAATGCTGGTTTTTACACCCATACAAACACCCAAAAGCTCTTTACTTCATTTTCTTGGAACTTGTTGATCCCAAAAAGCTCTTGTTTGTGGTTAAGGGTTTTTACACCCATACAAAAACCCAAAATCTGTTCAGTTCATTTTCTTAAAGCTCATTTTCATGATCAAATTTGGGGCTTAGTGACTGCTTTTCCAAGAGGGCTTAGTGACTGCTTTGTGACTGCCTTTCCAACTTGGGGCTTAGTGACTGCTTAGTGAAGCTCAAAATGGGGAAGACACTACCTGAAAGAATTGCGGAGGTTCAAGTATGTACTTTACTTTTAGGGTGGCGTAGCTCAAAAGTTAACTCCATCTCTTGAGGAGAGTTGACTATTGTGATTTACAAATTTGTTACCACTATAACCTACTTGTATGTGAACATATTGGAATCTTCCTTTGAAACAAACAAACTTAGTATATCTCACTCAACAGTAGCGTCAGGGACTCCCAGGAAAAGATGTATGCAGACTTAACCTCTACTAAGGGGTAGAAACTGTTTTCGAGAGTACATTGAAAAAAAGAAATATAGTTTGACAAATTAAAAAAATGACCAAGCAATAAAGAAAGAATATACTCCGTAATAAAACAAGCAGAGAGTCTGCAAGAAGCTAATCAACACCAGCAAGCTAAGCAACCAACCCCTGACTTCCCTCACTTACAATTCCTTCAAGGGCTCTACCAATGCCAGCAAACTAATTTCTTGTTTCTTGATCATGACTAGCATATTGAAGCTAAAAAGTCAGATTTCAAGGGTGAAGGAACTAGTGTGTGTTAACAAGCAACTTAAGAACATCTTATTATTCTGAATCAGAAGTTTTGATTGAATTTGTTGAAAAGAAAGTGAACATTTATGAGAAAGACAAGGCTGATTTTTCAAAGTATTTATACCAGCATTCTATTCGTAATCTTTGATGTGTCTAACTGTCTATTAATACTTTGATATCAATTTTTTTGCTTAATTTTTATATGATAGAGATTTAATTCAAATATGTTGATTGGACTTTGCAGATGTCTAACAAAGATAATAACACAAGAAAAGATGGTAAATCTTTCTTGTAAATTGAAGTCGGACCTATGTATAAGATAGCAGATCGAAGATAAATTGATTTGGCATGGCATGACAGACTTGCACCGCTTGTGGGAATTTTATGAAGATTCTATTGTTGGAGAACATATCATAGAACAATATAATGACTCTATTGCATTCCTTTTTAATTTGTTTTCAACTCATTATTAGAGGATCAATTGATGTTGGAACTCACTTTTTGTTTGGACACTAGATTTTTTATACTGGCTATAGAATTATAATTTGATGATGGCTTAGTTTTTATGTATGCATGATTTTCAAATTGAGTTAATTTAAGTGTGCTTAACGTAGTAATTTGCCACACTTATTTTATGTGTGGCAAAATTTTCCCCACATTGCCCGCCGCCACACTTAGCACATGTGTGGCGAACACTCTTTCCAGCACTTATATATGTTGCGAACAACATACATACATACATACATACATACATATAGTGGGCAACTTTGGGGAAATTTTAAGGGAGTTAAACGTGCTGGCCATAGAGTAGCAAAAATGATGGGTAACCCCTGGGAAGTGTTTGCAGATTTATGGGGTTGGGCTTTCATTGGGCTTCTTATAGTGGGCTATCTGTCTTGGGTGTTTAACGGGCCCCGAGGCGGTCACGAGGTTAATAGGCCTCGGGCCCCCTGCTTGTAACCGACCGTTCCAATAATATATATATATATATGTGTGTGTGTGTGTGTGTGTGTATATATATATATATATATATATATATATATATATATAGATGGGACTGACTCAAGTAAGATGACACCTTACGGTGAGATGACATGTTTCGATCAGATGACACAAAGCTCACCACATTACACTACAAAGCTCACCAATGGACAATGCAAAGCTCACCTGAAAATAAAGCAAAGTTGACCACTTTGAACCCCAAAACTCACCTTTTTTTTAAAATTTAAAAATTAAAAATAAAATAACAAATCAGGTCAACCACCGGTCAATGGCGGCCGGAGTCCGGCGGCAGCGACCGTCGGCGGAGCAGCAGCGGCGACGACCGGCGGCGGTGGCTGGCGACGGCCGGCGGTGGCTGCCGGAGATCGGCTTTCTCATCTTGGTAACCCTTGGAGAAAGGGGTCCGGGAAAGCTTTATCTTACGAGGCTCAGTGGGTAGGTCGAAAGGCGAATCCGCAAGTGCTTCAATCACAAAGAATTTGTCCTCCCAACCTTTAATATGTAGCTCTACTTTGGGGAAGATGATGTATTTCTGGTTGGGGTAAAAGCTAAAAAAAGGGGAGTTGCCCCCGAGGCTGAAGAAGCGCATGAAATCCCTCACATAAGGGGTCCTAAGTTTCTCGCAGCAGCGCAGAATGTAAGATGCTAGATACTTGTGTGCATTGGCCGTAAATTGCCCAGGAGAAGATCCGAGTTTCTGCACACTTCTCGGATGAAGGAGTGAAGTGGAAGTCTGAAGCCGTGAAGAACCGAATCGTAGTGCATCACCAAGGAACTTTCCGGCGCCGGATTGTGGGTAAACGACATTCCGCCAACGGCGTCCGGATGATGGATTTTGAAGGGCATTCCTAAGAGATCACACATGAGGGCGAGCCAGAGCTCCTGATTTTGGAGGGGCCGAGTTCTAGGTGAGCGATTTCAGGAGATTGAGCCATGATGTGGGGAACCTTCGTGAGATTGAAGAACTCACAGAGGAAATTGGGGACGAATCAAGAATAGTACGGACACCTAAAATGGGTAACGAGTTGGAGTGAGAATAAAAACGGCACAACTTAGAGTAAAGGGTGGGAAATGCAATCGTTTCGTAACCAGCACTCAGACCAAGGGCGGCGCAACTGTAAATCCTTAGTGGCGTGTCGCTAAGAAACTAGGGGGCTTGTGATGGATATCCTGGCCCCAGAGAACGCGAATGAATGACCCGATCTGTATGAGCGATTTGGGCCGGTGCGATAAAAGGCCCTGATTCTCGTCAATTGGCCCAAACGTAAAGCTAAGGTTCTGAACAGCGCAAGGACGTGGAGAGATCAAAGGAAATATGATGAACCACCACGATCGGTGTGCGACTGATAATGGCGAGAATTGTGCGCACGATGAGTGCACATTATGTATGTAATTGTAGGTAATATAAATAGAGGGAGAACCCTTCATTGTAAAAAAGTGAAAACACTAAAACACAGTTATTAATAGAAATATTGTGAGATTTATCAATTATCGTTATAATCCATTCTTCGCCGCCATAGTTGTTGGGCTAATTCCCACCAGTTAGATATTTCTCATATTCCTTCAATGTTGAGTGTGTAGTCTTTTTCCTATTTGCTACACGTAGATAACAGGAACGATGAATGAGGGAACAATCCTTGAAGGCGGCGAGGGTGAAGAGATAGATGGATGCTGATTGGAGTAGTTATCTGGTTTAATATTTAACTTTGAATTTATTATGTTCTAAGGGAAAGAACCGAAGTTGTATTTTGAATTAACTATTAAAAGCTTCTACACCATTTTATAATACTCTGATGGATATTTAAGTATTATTTTTGAATTAAATGTTCTAAATTGTTTTTGAAGATTATTGTCTTTGGATGCTAATTTAGTTGCCACCCAGTTCGCTGACTCGTTAATTCGGGTTACGCGGTTTGGGTATTACAGCAACAACTCAACAATTGCGAGGCTGGATCATCACAGAAAAGATTCTGATGAGGTTGAGGCTGATGACACTATCTGCTCGTCAGAACAAAGACATCTCTTCAACCTAAACGATTCCGATGACGAGGATCTCATTCCACGGTCGATTAAAAGAAAAAAGGCAAAACCCATTGTGTCGATTCTGCAAGGTCCTACTCTATTTCTTCTTACGATGATATCGGCCAGGGAATGGTTGAACAACTTCGAGTGTTTAATATCTCTATCTCTATATATACAATGGTAGGAGGCCAAAATGAACAGTGTTCCCGCCTAAAGTTATTGGGCCGGGTTTGGGTAAATTGGGCTGAGATGTGTAGTGGGCCTGTATTCGGATTTTTGGGCAGCGTGTAGTGCGCCAGGCTGTTCAGATTTGGGACCGCGTGTAGTGCGCCAGGTCTGTGTTTGGATTTAATATAGGGCAGCTTTTTTTTTAATAGGGTGGAGGTAATCATGAAAATAAACAATTGGGGAGTGTGACGGCGGAAGAGAGAGAGCACCGCCGCCGGTAAGTAGCCTCGCCGCCGCTGATTGGAATTTTTTTTTTTTCTAATTTTGAGGTTCCGATCGAGATGCTTTTACAATTTCTCCATTTTCTTACCAATTTCTTTTGTAGCTAGATTGAGATTTTCATATTTTAGGTATAAAATTTCAGGAATTTCAGATTTTCATTAAAATTTCTGATTTTCTTTAAAATTTCTGGAATTTTCAGATTTTCAAATTTTAGCTCAATCGAAGCATTTTGTTACAGGACTTCCGCCGGATCAGCCGAGATTGATCTTTGCCGGAAGCAGCAGCTGGAAGACAGCCGGACCTTGCCGACTACAACATCGAAAAAGGTAAAACGTTTAATCTAGGGTTTTGTTCTTGATGCCTTTTTGGGTTCAATCAGCGTGGAATTTCATCTTTATTTGTGCTTGATTTCGGATTCAAATAGAGTCGACTCTGCATCTGGTGTTGAGGCTTCATGGTGGAGTTATCGAGCCTTCTTTGATGGCAATTGCTAGGAAGTACAACCCTGATGAGAAAACTATCTGCCACAAGTATGTTCTCAATTCCTCATCCTCAATATGTTTGGTTATTTACTATCATCCTTTGAATCTACTTCTCTTTTTAAATTCCAATTCCAGTTCTCGAGATTGGGATTTCTCAACTCTCAGTTCATCCTCTCAGTTCATCTCTCTTTTGTTTATTTTAGGCAACTCCCATTTTGAACCAAACAAAATAAGGTTTTGTTTTAACCTTTAAAACCGAATAATAGGAACATACACAAGGTCTAGGGTTCTTGTGCTAGCCATTCCTTTCGTTGAAGCAGTAGCCTAACCCGAGCCGTTGAGTTTTAATTTTGTCTAATGATGGTGCAGCTATTAGCAGAGGCAAACTCAACAGGGGTAGGCTAGAGTTTCAATCCTATCTTCCCTCATTGATGATGGGCGAGGCAACACAAAGTAGATGTTGCATTCAGAGAATAGGTAGCACTTTCTTTCTGTTTTTATTAGTTTGTTTATTTATAAGATCTTTAGAACTTCGCGATGGACAACGAAAGTTTCTTTTTAGATTGCATTCTAATATTTTAGAATTTAACATAGCTACTAATATTTGAGAATTTATTTTCAAGTTGATATGGTAGTTTCGGAGTAGAGATGGGGGGCCGCCTAAAATTTGGTCCTAAAGAATCTGCCTGCTAGGAAGGCATAGGCAACGCCGACGCAATGCACATGCACATTATGAAATGTTTTTTTCTATTCTTTGATTCATAATTGGGTTTTGCAGGGTGTGGATTATATTAGGAAGATGGTTCAATTGAGGCTAGACAATCTTCTAAGTGTGTGGAAGAGCTGAATTTTTCTAATCCGTAAAATCCTTCTCACTATGACATATTTGAGTTAGAATATTTGTAATTTGGTTGCTTGCTTAACGTTTTTGTGGGATATTTCTCTGGAGGGTGATATGCTTAACGTTTTAAGTCTATAGAACTATGTGCGTAGTAAAGGGATGGATTTTCTTCTTCTTTTTTAGGGTTCTGTTGAAGAATGTATTATCAATGGGTCGGATTCTGATTTGGTTTTGTTTATTTATTTAAGGTTTGACCCTGAAGGTGGGGGGAGAAAGTTTTGAATGGAGAACAAGCCCAACAGGACAGCACTAGGTGTGATTAATCAGTGTTTAGGTGCTCATTTGTTGTTAATAAAAGAGGATTATCAGGGTATTTCTCTAATCCCCATATTCAATTTCAGTCCTTAAACTTTGAATTCCTGATTTCTTTAGATTATTTTTATGCACTGCTGATTTCTTTGAAATGCAATTCCTGTTTTTAGAGCTAATAATGGAGTCTCCAACAAAAAAACTCTATTTCAGTGCAAAGGCCATCTTAAGGTCAGTGAAGAAGAATTTTTTATTTTATTTGATTCCTTTTCTTATGGGTAATTAGGGATTGTTGAGATTTCTTTTCTTTTTCTTAATTGAAAAAAATTTGTTCAGTGCAATTAATCCTCATGAAAATTTGTTTGTTGGGATTGTCATAGGTATGAATTGAATTATTTTTTCTTGGAGATACATGAATCTTCTCCTTCCTTGCAATGGGATGTCTGTATCTTCACCATTACTACTCCTTTTTTTTGAAAGACTTTTTTTGTTTTTTGCAAATAGGGATCTGCACCATTACTACTCCATTAATAAAATCATTTTTCCAGTTCCTCATTATAGTCTTAAAAATTTTGGTGTTGAAGAGGCCGTTTTTTGAGTCCAAGTTGATTTTTTCAGACCATGAGTGTTTCCAAATCAAGTTCTAGCGCTAGCGGCAAGGGTCTTGGCGCTAACCCCCGTGATTGATTCTGGCGAGAAAGGCATTTTACCCATCAAAATCAGCAGCTACCGGTCTTCATCTTCTTTGTCTTTCATTTTATAGATTTGCTTAACCATAAGTCTAACTTTTTACTTCAAAAATGGAGTTCTTTTGCAACCTAGACTACTTAAGCAATGCTCAATATGTGTTCCAGAAATTGCCTCAATAAGGAGGGTCTAGGTAACATTTCACACTACATTTCTCTGATAGGCTTAGTTCCATAGTGGTCAGGTTCTTCTATTGCACACAACAAATGCCATAAAAAAGCCTGGAGATATTAAAGCATGAAGGTGGGTCAGGTTCTTACACAAACTTCAATTTCTTTAAGCTTCAAAGTTTTCCAAGGTGATAAATCTCGCTCTTAAGCTTAGGATTTCTTTATCCCCCCCGGGATTCCATCTTTTATTGAACCCAAAATTATCTCAGTTTGATTATCAATTTAATGTTGCATCCAAAAAGAAATCTAAGATTGTTTAATTTGCAGTAATTTATTGTGGGCCTTTTTGAATCAATGATTGACGTTCTTTCATATACAAAGAATATACTAAAATTTTAGTTTGTATGATTTTTAACATTAGATTGAATTGATAAATTGTGTAAATATCAATATGTACACAATTTCTAAAGATGTTTTTTCTGTGATATATGTATATGCCTATAATAATTATTAACTACTTCTGCTTTTTAATCTCTTCTCGATGAATGATTATGAACATAAGTGGTTTTGGTGTAGATTGTTAGCGCCTCTTGAGGTGCCTATTTGGTGGGTTCAAGAGCAAAATGGACCTGCCTATGATATCAAACTTTACAGCAACACTGGATTTGATGTTGTTAAGGTAACACCAACAACTGGCATTTATATAGGGTACTATTGAGTTTAGATTTCAACTGCAACAATTCTGTAAAGGCAACATTATCTTAAATAATAAATTATTTCTGTAAATATTAAAATTGCGTATAAATTTTTAGTTTTATAATATGCTAAATGAGATTGACATGGGTTTGCTCTTGATGAGTCTTTTTTGAAACGGTGAGCTTCAAACTTAGACAAAACACAGAGGTCTCTACCTCAATGTTTTGCCCGAGTGCATGACTTTATTCACAATAAAATTTAGATCTAATCTACATTTAAAATTTACCTCTGTCTAGGCTATTTTTTCATAATTTAGAGTTTGTAATTGTGAAAAAGTTTGTTTCAGTTGAGATTTTTGTGACTTGAGATCTGCATTTTTTTAGTCGTGAAAATTGATTCCATGAAAAAAATCAGGTTTGGCAAGAGTTGGAAGGTCGGTAATGGACAGATTAGAGGTAGTGCATTTCTGTTAGTGCAAGGCTGTATTGCTTGGATTGAATTCCAAGTTAATATATTGATTAAACTCTTTTTTTTATGTAGTTCTGTTGTACTCCGTAGTATGTTAGCTATTTATTTGGGTTTATATTAAACAGTTGATGTATTCTATATAAGGCGTTTCATGGAATATATCGAAGATATATCTTTTTTATAATTTTCTAACCCAAATTGGTTTAGAAAATACACACACACACACACAATTTATATTCAAACTTAAATTTTGCTCTGTTTATTTTATTTTTAAAATTTTAGATAAAAAATTTGCCCGTGCATCGCACGGGTACGAGTCTAGTTAGGGAAGAAGAGAAGAAGAAACGAAGGCAAGAAAAGGAGGAGCTGGAAATAATAGAAACAGACCTTGATACGTTAACGAGCTTCAAACATATGTATTACGAGAAAAGCCAATGAGATCAAGACTGAATACAATTCGCTTTAGTTTTTTTAATTAATGTTTTTTTTAATTAGAGTAAATTCCCAAAATAGTCCTTTGTAATAAGGAATTTTCCCAAATTAGTCCTCAATAAGTTTTAATTACCTACATGGTCCTCTATAATTGAGATTTATTCCCAAAATAGTCCTTTGTAATAAGATATTTTCCCAAATCAGTCTTCAATAAGTTTTAATTACCTAGGTGGTCCTCTATAATTGAGATTTATCCCCAAGATGGTCCTTCATAAATAATGTTCCTCAAATGAGGATTAATTAAAGTTATTTTTTCTCTGCTAAATTTAGAATTAATTTTTAAAATAATTATTTATAATGAAGTGCTTTCCCAAAATGGTTTTTCTAATTAAAGATGTGTATTTGATTTTAAATTTAAAAGATTTTTTAAGTTTTAAATAATTCATAAATTATTTATGAGTAAATTCTCAAAATGGTCCTTTGTAATAAGGCGTTTTCTCAAATCAATCCTCAAATGAGGATTAATTGGGAGATATTTTGGTATTTTGATAATCCAAATTTAAAGTATATTTTTGAAACAATCATTTCTGTACAACTAAATGTAAAATTTAAAAAAATACATTGAGTATAAATAATTTATGAATTATTTAAAACTTAAAAAAATCTTTTAAATTTCAAATCAAATACACATATTTAATAAGAAAAATCATTTTTGGGAAAGCATTTCATTATAAATGATTATTTTAAGAATTAATTCTAAATTTAGCAGAAAAAAATAACCTCAATTAATCCTCATTTGAGTAACATTATGTATGAAGGACCATCTTGGGGATAAATCTCAATTATAGAGGACCACTTAGGTAATTAAAACTTATTGAGGACTGATTTGGAAAAATACCTTATTACAAAAGACTATTTTGGGAATAAATCTCAATTATAGAGGACCATGTAGGTAATTAAAACTTACTGGGGACTAATTTGGGAAAATCCCTTATTACAAAGGACTATTTTGGGAATTTACTTTTTTAATTAAATGTTCTTTTTTACTCCCTCCGTCTCCAATTTGATTACAAATTGCGGGTTACAGAGTAAAATTTCCTACTTTTTGAAATCATTTTATTTACAAATTGGTATATCAATAAGATATAAAAATTATATATTAAAAAACTGCGTCAAAAATTCTACAAAACAAGATGTGACAAGAATATTTTATTTTATCAAATACTTAATGAAATCGTGTAAACAAACAAAAGTTATCGAGAGGAGAGAGAGACTAAGATTGTAATCTATTTAGAGACGGATGAAGTATTTAATGTAGTTTTTTTAATGAATTATTGTCGTTTAAATTTAATTAACTAATGAATTTTTATTAATTTAACTTTACAAAATATATACGGAGTATTAAAAAATTAAAGAATAAAGATTTGAAGTACCAATTTGAAGTCTTAAGGCTTCAAACTCATTTCTAGTTAAATTTTGAGGTAAGCAAAAACTTAGAAATTTTGAAGGGGAACTTTCTTGATGGCATTTCTAGTGCTCTAGAGTTCAAAAAACACTAGCTCATTGAGTCATAGAGTAATAGATTTCCTCCAATGTTCTAATGTACTTTCTATACTTTCTACAGTAACGATTTTGGTTTTGATCCACTTCTTTTTTACCTCAACAGAATCAAATGGGATATCCGAACATGACATGTGGGGGACCAATCTCCAACCCATTTCTTTCTACCAACAGTTCTCGCCGTCTTAGCAAATCCCCACCGCGTCCTCGGCAGTAGCCGCCGCCGCCACAGCCACCTTATCACAGCCACCGCCTACCCCGAACCCGAAGTTTTCTTCTCCTACGAGGCTTGATGGCGAGGCTTGTAGTGGAGGTTCTGGAAGCCAGCGATCTGATGCCCAAAGACGGGCAGGGCTCCGCAGATCCGTATGTAGAAGTTGAATTTGACGGGCAGCGGAAGAAGACACAGACGAAGAGCAAGGATCTCTGCCCGCGGTGGAACGAGAAGCTGGTTTTCAACATCCAAAACCCCTCCCCTGGCTTGGGTGCCGAGAACATTGATGTGTACGTCTACAGTGAAGGAAAAAATGGCCAAAACCCCAAGTTTCTCGGCAGGGTTGAGATTTCTGGCATCTCTGTTCCCTTTTCGGAGTCGGAAGCAGAAATCCAGACATACCCACTTGATAAAAGGAGCATTTTCTCTCATATTAAGGGCGAAATCGCCTTGAGAGTCTATGCTTTGCTGGGTCTAGGGGATGATATGAATCCTGACCAAGATTTGGATGTCGAGAACGAACCGCTGTTGAGCACTGGGGGTGACACCATCGAAACCAGAGATGTTCCTGTCCCTGTCCCTGTCCCTTCACCGCCACTGCAAGAATTCAAAACTAATTTGTGCCAGGACGAGACTGAAATCGAGAAGAAGAAGGAGAAGAAGAAGAAGAAAAAGGAGCCACAAGTGAGGACATTCTACTCCGTCGGTAGAGATAGGGGTCCTCCCCCTCCCACTCCTCCTCCTCTTGAAAAGCCTGTAATGGTCGAGCCCCGTGTTGATTTCATGAGAGCCGGACCGATGCCACCAGGATTAGTTCATCAAATGCAAGTGCCTCCGGGTCAGAGGCAGGAATTCGGGTTGGTTGAGACCAAACCCCCAGTGGCCGCGAGAATGGGGTATTGGGGGAAGGATAAGACCGCAACCACGTATGATTTGGTTGAGCAGATGTACTTCCTGTACATACATGTGGTGAAGGCCAGAGATTTGCCCGTGATGGACCTCACCGGGAGTCTCGACCCCTACGTCGAACTCAGGGTGGGGAATTACAGGGCCACCACGAGGCACTTTGAGAAGAACCAGAACCCGGTGTGGAATGACACTTTTGCTTTTGCCAAGGAGAACATGCAGTCTCATATCATTGAGGTCACTGTGAAGGATAAAGACTTCATGAAAGATGATTTTGTTGGGAAGGTTGTGTTTGATATTATGGAAATTCCTCTCAGGGTTCCCCCCGACAGTCCCTTGGCTCCTCAATGGTACAGACTGGTGGGTAAGAGGGGGGAGAGGGTGTATCAGGGGGAGATCATGCTTGCGGTTTGGATGGGAACGCAAGCCGATGAGGTCTTTCCGGATGCTCTACATTCTGATGCCTATGGCATCAGCCCGCACAGCCTGGCTAATACGCGATCAAAGGTATATTTCTCTCCCAGATTGTTTTACCTGAGGGTACAAGTCATCGGAGCTCAGGATCTGATCCCTGCGGATAAAGGGCGAATGCCCGAGGCATTTGTAAAGGTACAACTTGGTCATCAGTGGAGGGTCACTAGACCCTCTCAGAGACAGGTTAATCCGATGTGGAACGAGGAGATCATACTTGTGGCTTCCGAGCCCTTAGACGAGTTCCTTACAATAGATGTTGTTGATAGAGTTGGACCCGGTAAAGATGAAGTGATTGGGAGAATGATGATACCCGTGAGGGAGATCCCGCCAAGGGCGGGAGAAACCACTAAACTCCCTCCTCCCAAGTGGTTCAACCTCAGGCCTTTTCTAGGAGGAGGAGGAGGAGGAGGTGAAGATGATAAGAAGAAAGAGATGAGGTTCTCAAGCAAAATCCACCTCCTCCTATGCATGGATGTTGGCTACCACGTTCTTGACGAGTCAACTCATTTTAGCAGCGATCTCCAGCCTTCCTCCAAGCTCATGAGGAAGCCTGGCATTGGGATTCTTGAGCTAGGCATTCTGAATGCCCAGAATCTGCATCCGATGAAGGGCGGGAAAGATGGCAGGCTCACGGATGCGTATTGCGTGGCCAAGTACGGGAACAAGTGGGTGCGGACAAGGACGGTGCTGAACAACCTGAATCCCCGGTGGAACGAGCAGTACACGTGGGAAGTGTTCGACCCGTGCACGGTCATAACGGTCGGTGTCTTTGACAATTGCCAGATCAACGGGAGAGAGGATCCGAGAGACCAGAGGATCGGCAAGGTGAGAATCCGGCTCTCCACCCTGGAGACCGACCGGATTTACACCCATTTTTACCCCTTGCTAGTCCTCCAACCCCCGACCGGTTTGAAGAAGCACGGCGAACTCCACCTGGCCGTGAGGTTCACCTGCACTGCTTGGGTGAACATGGTGGCGCAGTACGGAAGACCGTTGCTTCCCAAGATGCATTACCTGCAACCCATCTCGGTGCGCCACATCGATTGGCTTCGCCACCAGGCGATAGGTCTGGTGAGTGAGAGGCTGGGCAGGGCGGAGCCGCCTCTGAGAAGGGAGGTTGTGGAGTACATGTTGGATTCCAACTACAATTCCTTCAGCCTGAGGAGGAGCAAGGCCAACTTCTTCCGCATGATGTCCCTACTCAACGGCATCTCCGCCGCGTGCAGATGGTACCACGGGATCTGCTACTGGAGAAACCCGTTCACGACCATCCTCGTCCACGTGCTCTTCCTGATTCTGGTCTGCTACCCGGAGCTCATCCTCCCAACCGTCTTCCTCTACTTGTTCGTCATCGGGTTGTGGAACTACCGGTTCCGGCCGAGGAACCCTCCGGCGATGGACGCGCGGATGTCGCTGGCGGACGCCACTCACCCGGACGAGTTGGACGAGGAGTTCGACACGTTCCCGTCGTGCAGGCCGATGGAGGTGGTGAGGATGCGGTACGACAGGCTGCGGGTTGTGTCGGGGAAGGTGCAGTGCGTGATGGGGGATTTGGCGACCCAGGGGGAGAGAGCTCTGGCGATTCTGAACTGGAGGGATCCCAGGGCCACCGCCATATTCATCATCTTCGCGCTGATTTTCGCGGTGGTTCTTTATGTCACTCCGTTTCAAGTCATTGCGCTCCTCGCCGGCCTCTACTCGCTCCGCCACCCGCGCTTTAGGAGCCGCCTCCCGTCCGTTCCCGTCAACTTCTTCAAGAGGTTGCCCTCAAAATCTGACCAGCTTTTGTGAAGCAAGAAAAGAAGAAAATATGGTTGTAATTAATTAATTAATTAAATTGCCTATGGAAGGAAGGAATCCCTTGCTGTACTATTATGATTGTTATTAAGCCTGTAGCGTATATGGATTTGTATTAGTAAATGAGGAGTGGAATAAAAACGGCATAAACATCTTTATTCTCTAGATTTTATTCCAAGAAAGTATTATTTACTTTATTACTTGGTTTATTATAATTAAGTCTTGAAATGAATATAATGAATTTATTAAGCCATCAACTTAAGGTTCAATATAAATTAATTAAGTAGTTAACTATTTCTTTAATGACCAAAAATACCCGTTTAATAATGTTATACTCCCTCACACCTTGTCACTATCCTACAGTCCATGTCACAGTGTCCATCGCCGCTGTCACAATCTCCACCTTGCCGATTTGCCATTACACCTTGCCACCACCCCACCACCGCCAGTGTTACAGTATCCACCTTGCCGATGCCCAGATCAAATTAGACCACACAGTTTTAATCCAACTAAAGTTGGAACAAAACAAGTACGGGAAGGGTGGTTCCATCACGGAGAGGGGCGGAACTGTGAGAGAGCAGTGTTTGGGAAGGGGTGGTTCCATCACGCCCGGAGACGTTAACAAGACAATATCAAACAAATACTCCGGGACACTAAGCTAAAACGTACATGCAACCAATTCCATTAATGCAAAACATGACCAAATACTTACAAGCTTCCACTAAGTATAGAGTTCATAGTTACAAAAACTTAACTTTCTCTGGGACTAGTACAAAATTACTACAACATATCTGCCAGTAACAACTAACAACGCCTTCTCTCTGGGCATACTATTAGTTAGACACCACTGCATTGGAGTATACTGCCTTGGTGGGATTAACCATAGAGAAAAAAAAATCTATAATCTCAAAAAGTCAGTACAGCTTAGGGTGGGTGGAAGAGAAATTAAAAAAAAAAAAGACTTGGTTATCTCCACGTTAGAAACCCATGCCATTTTTTACCGTTTAAAAACTTTCAAAGTCTTTTTCTTTCTGTTCCTCATTAACATGGCAGTCCTTTCAGATTTCCATTTTCTATACTTTTTCCTATCATTTAGCCAGACTGCATAATCCTTCCCTGGCTTGCAGGCAACAAAATCAGCCAACTCATCATAATCAGATGTGTTGTGCGTGCTGTATTGCATGGTTTTGAGATAGCTCTCACCATTGAGTGTTGTTTCTTCTTCAATGCTCACTCTATTATCTTCGCTGTCAGGAAAATGGTAAACATTTGAGGAATTCTCTGTGAACCCTTCTTCCACCTCCTTGCTACCAAAACAATTCGCCACAATCTTTGATTTCCTGACAAAAAGCTCAAACACAGATGGAATAATCAACAAAAAAACATCGATAATAACCATGAAACTTGTTACAGATAACATAAAATAAAAGTTAACATGCTTCACAAATATTTTATGTGATAACAAATTCTAAGAGTCTAAAGCCATGCACACAACCATGATCATGAAATGAATGCCCCCCCCCCCCATCTTCGAAGACTACTTTAAAGCAGGAGACAATGAACTACTAAACTGGGCATGACTATATAGTATTCTGTTTGTCCGGATTTGGTTGTCCATTTCCTAAGATATCTTATTTCGAAAAGGCGAGTATAAAATATCAAAATAAGTCCTTTAAATAAAATACTCATTAATTGATGTCAACTATGTTATTATGATATCTAGAAGGTAATGGTATGTTGTTAGACAATGAATCATAGTTTTTTTACTTAATGCAAAAAGTGGGCAACTAATTCCGACACACAAAAATGAGAAAGTGGACAGAGTAAATACTTAGGCCTCTGCAAGCAAACATGTAACTTCACCTTTTTGACGCAATATACAACAATATAGAGATGATGTGTATGTTTAGAACTGAAATAAGGAGTCGCATAGCTAGTCTAGAGAAGCAGTAGAATTGCAGGTGTGCCTGATCATTTCATTTAGGCGCAAATGCTCAATGCCTTTAGGCATGACCATTCCTACACACACACACACACATGTGCGTGTGTCGATAAATCAAAGTAGAAGAAAAGGTACCACAACATAAACAATAAAGAGGTAATCGTTCCACTGTCAAGGAAATACTACTACAATCTCAATTGAAATGTGTATATTGTGTTCAAACCTCAAGTGAAGATTCTGCATGTTTTGAAATTTTGATGCAATTTTAATGCTTGGCCTTGGGTTCACAAGTGCCTGAATCACAATTAATCAGAAAGTTAAAAAACAATGATCACTAGTTTAAGAAAAGGTAGATATACTCTCGCCGGTTGGACTCTCACCAGAGGTAATGCAGAGGAAACAGACTTTGGGCCAGATAAAACCAGTGACCTCAACTCATCTAAATAGCCATCTTCCAGCACAAAGAGATTCAGCACAGCAGTGATAGTTAGCAAGCAACCTTTTGCTAAGTAATCAAACCTGTTTAGAAAACTAAATGCAAGCAAGCCTGAAAAATGCACAAGCATCATCATGAAGTCCTTATGCTTGATGGAATTTGTCTCCATTATGCCAAACAAAAACTCTTGGACCGGAAAGTGCAATTGGCATTTGCTAAAACAGCTACTCGCACAGACAATAGACATGCACTCCTTACACAATGAGTAGTCTTTCAATGTTTTGAAAGAGCCACAACTTTCTTTGTTTCTGAGACATGATATAGCATGCAGCAAAGAAATGCTCATTAACTTCAACACAGCAACTAGGAGACATATGTCTTGCAGACTTATATCCCTGATTGCAGGCATTCTGGTTTCATCAAAGCTCTCTGATGCTCTTACTATCAGGCAATTTACAATTGAGAATACAGCAGGTCGGCACGATTGGTCCAAAAGACATTGGCACTCCTTTACATATGCTATACATGAACTTGCCAAGTCAGATTTCAGTGCAAAGAAATGGTTGCATAAAAATGAATCTGATGAACCTTCTAACCTTGTAATCAGAGAGTTTATCTTCTCCAGTGTGCTTGGCATTATATAGGATGCAAAAGGTAGAGGATAGTAGCCCCCATACGCATGGGGCTCAACAAATGAAGCACAAGTACTTAGAGGATGGCCTTTCGTCCATAGGCAGGACATATGTTTCATGTACATATCCATGGACTTTTCAAACACTGAGATACAGTAGTTGAGAAGTTTACAGTTCAGTTTCAAGTTCGGAATATCCATCATACTACTCATGGCTTCATAAACTGATGAAACCACATGTGCTTGCACAATTTTTGGGGCAGAAAAAAACATGGGATGGAGGAGAAGTGATATTGCCCCAGTCAGACTCATCCCTTGAGCTTTAAAGAATTCAAAATCCTTATTGCGTGCACAGAAAAGTCTGTCCAGAAAAGCTTCAATTGCATCTTCACGAGAAAACGATAGGACAAAGCAAGTGGAAACAAGTTCTGCCAAAATTCCAATATCACACTGGCGCTTCTTTGAACAAATACCTTTGTCAGTAGGCTGAGGCATAAATAAAGGTTCACTAGGAGATGTAATTCGCCCAATCCGCTTAAATATCGCTTTCAATCTTCCATGAACAAGAAGCTCATCTAGAAATACCTGAGTATACAAATGGCCCTGTTACTTAAGAACGTCTCCCGTGCAGAGTTCTCAGCTATTATGTTTGATGAGTGAGGTAAAATTAATGCATGTGCTCATCGATAACTCAAAAGCATATCGGAAGGCGTGTTTTGATCTGAAGACATGAGAGAGGAGGGAAAATGCTCACTTCCCTCATTTGTTTATGAAATTCAGGAAGAGGAGCCAATGTTTTCCCCTCTACTTCCCTCAAACAAAATCAAACAAAGTAAGAAAAAAAACATTCTTCCCCTTCCTCCTGACCCATAATCAAGCACACACCCTTACTCTGAATCTCCATAACATATTCACCGAGTTCTTAGAAAGTGATCCGTGAATAGATGGTTCAAATAAATAATATACATTATACTCTCTCCGTCCCAAAATTGATTACAATTTTGGAGTTACGAGGCAAAAGTCCATGTTTTTTGAAATTATTTTATTTACAAATTGGTATAGAAATTTAAAAATACAACTTATATATTAAAAACTACGTCAAATGTTCTACAAAACAAAAGGTGACAAGAAAAGTGTAAAGGCATATGGAATGTGTAAACTTTATTTTGGGGGCGGAGGGTGTATATCACACAATATACTTCCTTTTCCATCAATGGAAATTCAACAAAAAAGTGTAAAAGCATATATACCTCCAACAAAGCAATAGCAAATGAAGTTTGAAGATCAAGGGGCTCGCAAAAATGAACAGCAAGTTCCTCACTTGATGTAGTTGTGAAGTCATCATTATCATGAAGGCATGGATGAAAAAGTGATTTCGGAAAACTAATTCCTTTCCTGTCCTTTATTGATGGCAGGTTTAGGGAACATAACTTCAAAAGTATCTTTAAAAGAACCCCACCCTTTTCCAAAACAAGGTTTTGGTTGAGTATGGGCAAGACCAAGATAACCATACTACACCTTAACAGCAAAAATAGTACTTCAACTGTGCAATTCACATGTATGGTATTTTGGCCATGATCCTTACTTGCAGAAATATCATATACAGAAGATATAATATTGTCAAACATCACTGATAGTTCTTTGAATATAAAGTCACAAACAGCTTGTAGATCATTTTCATCAACTCTGTTCTGAGGACCTGTGGACAGATGGAAGAGTAAACAATACAAACTCTTCAAGACAGGTGCTTTCATACCCTGCAGTTGTACACAAAATTGAAAAGCTAGTTTCAACTTAATTTTGAATCTCCATTGTCAAATATCACATTTCAAATTTTAAAGGCCATGTAAATCTAATATCTTGGCATTACATTTGATCAGGGAACATAAGCCTTCACATTTTGCATAATATTGCAGATTTATATATTTTTTATTATGAATGTATGAGCGAATGTTCGTTGGGAATTTAGGATTTGGAGATTAAAATATTAGAATTGATAAAAAAAAATGTACTTTTAAGAAGGGTAAATGACAGCACTTATTGGACCCTGACATTTAGTTATAAATTCATTAAATTGTGAAATGTGAACAAAGAATACAACTATAACAGCCTGATTACTCCAATGGGTTTACCGTTATACATGCACATCCAAAAAAAATCCCTAAAGCTCATTTCTATAATACAAAGCAGTGATCGAGTTTTACCAAGAAATAAAAAGAAAACGTAATGATGTATAAGTAACTGACCCCGGGAGTTGTGATGGCGGAGAGCAGCTTCCGGAGGGTTGGAGAGAGATTGGAATGCATAGGAGAATTAGGTTTTTCTCTCTGAGAATCGCTGCAGATCTTCTTCCGTGGCCTTCTCGGTGCCATTACTTCAAATTTGTGATGCTATTCAGTTGCACTGGTACTACCTCACTGAATTTGCCCACAAACCAAATCTCCTCTCCGTAAAGGAAGTAAGCAACTAAGAGCATGAGCAAAATAGAATGCCACAAGTCACTAACTGACGAGAGTGGTGTGTTCTACTGTGGCAAATCAGTTTTTTATTATTCTTTTTTTATTTTTTTCTATATTTGAATTATTTGAAGTTATTTAACCTATTATTTTATCATAAAAAATATTTATATTAACTCAAAATTATTTAATTTATTTTTTCACAAAAATACTTTGATTTTTTTAATAAAAACTTCTTTTCTGATGCAAACAAATAAAATGACAATAGTGTTTTCTCACTTTTTACTTTTCTTTAAATATTTTGATTATTAGAAATTATTATTGTTATTTATTTTATCATAAACAAAGGTTATACGGAGTACTTCCATTTAAAAGTCTCTCTTACAATTCATCTTTCATTTTTTTCCCCTAAAACGCTTCTATTTTTATAAAAAATGACTAATAAATCTAAATTAAGTCACTGCAATATACTCAATTCAATTTGCATCGATACAATTAGTTATTTAAATGATTTGTCTCTCTTTTTTCTTTTATGATAAATATATAATTAGATAGTCAAACTATGAAAATAAATCCCTTCCAAGTCAAAATAGGAATTATTTTAGGAAACAGAGGGAGTAATAAATTATGTCAATAAAAATATAAGTGTATCTTCTTTGTTCAAAACCAAAAAAAAAACAAAAAGGAAATGGAGTAACTTTGTCTCGCACATGTCACGGAAAGGGGAGTGACTCCCTCTTGCCTCGCTTAATCCGCGCGTGTGGAATCCAATGTGGCAAGGCATAGCTATAAAATGACACGCCATTGTTGGTGCTCTAAAGTTTCTTGAATTCAGATCAAGAACAGGATTGCAATTGTTTTGGACCAAATACAAAAAAATAAGACTTTCGATTTTGATTTAATTATTTTTACATGACCCTTAGACTTTGATTTAATTATTTTTAATTTAATTTATAACCGTAAAAATTTATCCTGCGTCAGAAGGCCGTCATGGAATCTCTTCAACAACCGCACGCACATTATTTCTTTACCACCATCCCCATTGAGGGGCTAAAGCAGCACATGTCTCAAATCAAATATAGGGCGATTCTTAAATAACGCCTAATGATCCCGTTGATCTCAGTGGACGAGCCTTGTCCTGTTTGTCATTAGGTGGTCTGGGACAAGTTTGGAGAGCATGTGGTGCACCACAAAGAACTCCCCGAATTTAAGTACTGACACGACTTGGTGTAGGATGTTTTATTTGATGTCCTTCGAAGGACGGGGATTTCACCGATAAAGAAAGCTCCAATAAAATCCTTACATGCCATGCTGAGGGGAGGTCCTCCTTGCGGCCTGCTGATGTTTTGATTTTTAGATGGGCTGGGGGTAACATGCTTGTTGGACCTTACTGGTGTTTCCCTCCTTATGGATCTTCAGGGTAATGGTTTTACGGTTGGGCAAGCTATTTTGAATGCTTAGATAAGAGCCTGTTTGTCACTGTGTTGGATTAACAAAAGTGATTATTTTTGTATCACTTCATGGAAAATCCATAATCTAAAGCTAGTATCAAAAGTAATATTGTTTGCAGCTCAAAGTAATTTATTCCCTTAACATGCATTCTAATGTTTGGCATTATAATCACTTCTAGATTTCTAACAAATAAACACATTTATTCTAATGTCCCTCTTTTTTTACCGTTCCTAGGATAATATTTGCTGACCAAATTACTCTCATACTCTGCAATGCATTAAGTGATACAAGCAAAAAAAATGTAGCTATAGTCCAACGCATGCAAGCATCCTTTTCCTCGCATCCAATGATTAGTTGCTCCAAGTTCAATATATCATCTTTAACAAATGATAATTAAGCACTGCTAGAAAGCTTGAAGTAAAGTCCAACTTCAAGGTTATTGTTAGACAATAATATTAAGTATTCCTAGTTATGGTAGAAGTTGTATTTTAGTTAATTTCCATTCTCTATTCCTAGTTGTGTTAGGAGTCTCTTCTATATATACTCTATCATGTACTTCATAATTTAAGGAGCAATATTATTATTCTAATATTCCAACATGGTATCAGAGCCACCGCTTTTGGTGACCTAAAAAAAGATCTTTGCTCCCACCGCCGCCGCCGGTATTTCCGGCGACGGCGGCTCCACCTTATTCACATCTATTTTTTTTCCCTTTTTTATTCTCAAATTAACTTCTCCATTCAAAAAAAAGAAAAAAAATTCCCGTGTTGAAATCACAAAAAAAAGCCGTCAAAGGAGGAGCTTCCCTCTTGTCATCTCCATGGTTCTTCAAAAAAAAACTCAACTCCTCACAAACTCTCTCAGATCATCCTATCTTCTCAAAAAAAGAAAAAAAAATGATTGTTGTTTCTCTCTAATTCACCATATCAAAATCTCAGACCCAAATTTTTTTTTCCATCACCAATTCTTAACCTACTTTTTCTCTCTAAAATCACTCATTCTAATCATCAACCTCCCTTCTCTTTCTCTTTTGTTGAACCAATAAAAATCCAAAGTAAATCAGCACAAAAAAGCCAAGAGGGGAAGTAGTGAAAGAGGAAATAAGACCTCTACAACTCACCCCTTCAAGAAGGAAATAGGGCATTGCCCGGATCCAAGAAAAAGACAAAATGTCAAGGATCTTCAGTCAAACAGGCACCTCGAGTAGCTTTCTCTATTCTTCTTCGACGTCAGCAGCTACAAGCGCACGTCAACCTTCTCTCTTCTTCATCGACGTCAACAGCTACTAGCGCACGTCAACTTCTCTCTTCTCCAACGACGTCAGCAGCCAGCGGCACACGTCAGACTTCTCTCTTCTCAAAATTTCCAGTTTCCGGCTAGTGTCCAAGCTTCCTCTTGCTTCAGCCAGAGTTCAGCTTGAGGGGAGATGTTAGACAATAATATTAAGTATTCCTAGTTATGGTAGAAGTTGTATTTTAGTTAGTTTCCATTCTCTATTCCTAGTTGTGTTAGGAGTCTCTTCTATATATACTTTATCATGTACTTCATAATTCAAGGAGCAATATTATTATTCCAATATTTCAACAGTTATAATGAAAGCCACTACATATTTGAATTTAAAAAATTGACACACCAATCCGACTAAAAGTTATAGATGCACAAATATTGTCTCGAACAGTATTCATGTAAATATCATTGTTTTGATCCTGAGATGTCCTTCTTGTGAATTGAGTGGGCTCATAATCTTTGAAGCGAAGAAAGTCATCATTGAGGGCATCATGTCTTCGTATAAAGTTATTAAGGGCCATAGTGGCTGGAACAAGAGCAACTTGATCTGCAAACGGTATACCAACTGGCATTTAATCTTAATACGTAACAAATAAAGAGCAATAGCTAAAGGCATATCAAAGCACTGCCAGAAAACTAAATTAGAAAATTGAAACCATCATAAATAGTTTATATGTTATCTAAATAACTTCAACTAAAATATCAAATAACCATAAAAGGATTGCCTAGCCTCCTCGTAGATCCACTAAAATTCAGAAGTTAAACTTGAGGTGCTTTCCTACGATTGAAGTCCCGCTCCATCTGTTCCTCAAGCCATTTCAACCTAAGTTCATCACTCTTTATCTCTATAAATACTTCTCTTAGTACTTGCTTTAAGAAGAGTCGTGTAGCAAACATCCAAAGATGCCCTCCAGCTTCTACCGCTTCCATTTTATCAAGTACAGTAAAACAATTTTGAATAGAGTAACGCCCAGTAGAGTTGCTTCCTTTGTCCCCTTCAACTGATTCAACCATCCTCTCCAAGCACTGCACAATCTTATCGGCACCAGATGGTTTGCGTTTCTTTTTATTAAGGATTTAAGGTGTATGGGCAAAAATGGGTTGTTAGGCATTGTTGGTTGAGTGACACTGGAACTTGGGACACCCCCTTGAGACATGTTACTTTCTTCAGCATTAGATGCATTCCACTCAGGCTGGTAATCATTAATATCATCCATCATGTGCTCGGGCATCAATCCTGTTGCTGGAACATAGGCATTGTTACCCGTCGCAACAACATCTGAAAATAACATTCGTTGTTCATTGACTAATATTGGCCCTCTTTCCCTGAATTTGGCGGCATCTGGATTCTCCTATGAAAGTAAATAAAATAAATAAATAAATAGAGAAGCAAACCAAATTTAAGCATAACATAAACAATCACATGTACTATACATCCACATATATCTTAAACTTACCATGATTTTTCTTTCCCACCATCCAGCATCGGCATCCACAGTCATTTTTTGATTATTCCATCCAAGGCCTGTTTCATTTTCAGTTATTGACCTCCACACAGACCATTCCTTTTTCAGATTATCCCATCGGTTTTTGAGCTGTAATTGCATGTACTGACGACCTGTTTCAGTGTTGAATTTTTTCACAATATTTTCCCAGCCCACTCTATTAAAATGTGTCCCAGGTCTATTCCCTGCTTCCAATTCAACCACACAAATCCTTATGAATGTTTCAGTTAGGAATTGATTCCATGTTGCTTTATTGACAACTGAAACATTTCTTTGGCCTTTAGGTTGTTGCTCAAGGATTCTTCTAGCAGTTTCATACCCCACAATTTGGCTCATTTGAGGATGGGATGCCATGGAAATCAAAGCACAAATATCTGCATTAGTATCAAACACTTTACAACAAATTGAAAGAAAATTGATGGCTGTAAACATATAACTAAAAATGCATTAACTTATATTTTTTTGTTTTTTTTTATAAAAAAAGGAGTTTTTGGTCTTGCTGTACGCATCAATAACAATGAACAAAAAAACAAATTGTTGTTTTAGCATATTAAAGCCCCAAAGCTTGTAAAAGTACTAGAGGGATATAAAATTTCCAGTAACAAATACATAGAGTTTAGAATGTCATGCAATAATAATTCAAAACATATGATGTGCATATTCATCTTAGTAAGGTGAAATAAAAACTTACTGATGAATGGACAAGTAGATCAAATCAAAGGAGAACAAGGGGATGAGATCAGAGTACCCGTACAGAAATTAGGTTTGCAACATGACTATTTATACAAATAATTGTCAAGCTATTTGGGAAAAAGAGGGAAACTTTCCGGCGGGATGTTTTGGGAGATGACAATTGGCGGGATGCTCAGCAAATTAAGGAAAAAATGAATCTGATAAAGAGAAGTAAAAAGATAAATAGATACTCCGTAGAAGGATTCATGAAATTTGGTAAAGAGATTTGGCGGCATATTCTGGAAAATGGTTGAGGGAAAATCGAAGAGATAAGGTTAGGGAAGGTTAGAGAATGTAGCGGAGACCTAGGGAAACTGATGTAAAAATCCTAATTTTAGTAGGTATATAAATTCTCACCGTAGAAGTTATACGCCAAAAGCAACTTTATGAAGCTTCGAACAAACTCAGTTTAAAGCTCATAATTGTGTGTGAAAAAATCATAAGTGGACAGCCCAAACAATATAGAATCACTTTGGATCACCACATAATCTGATAATCAGTCTAAAAAAGCAACGACAAACAGGCTCATAAGAAAGTTGACAAACATGATCAACACGTGTTTGTTCCTTTTGCATTTGACATTTTTAGTTCCTTAACCCCTGAAACTTTGTGTTTCTTGGAACTGGATGGGGTTCTTAAGGTTGTTCGGAACAATGTATCAGCTTTGAATGGTCACGAATATGTTCTCAATAGAATATGGTTTGCTATCCAGAAAACGGTGGCAGTGCAGCTTGTTGCCCGCTTACCTGCCACCTTGATGTAAATTCATGTTAGATTAGTTAGATTTAGCTTCGATTTTAGTATCTAAAAAATGACATCCTATTCGTTAATTGACATGATCGGTTCCATTTTTTTAAACTTAAAATTTATACTCTCTTCATCTTTAGGAAAAATGGTGGTGATAGCCACACTCGACCAAAAAATTAAATTCACAACACTAATTTCACCCTAGGGTTTTTCTAAATTACTTTTAATCCATGATTCACGGAACTCATATGTATTCTACCATTTTTAACATTTTTGATAAAATCATATTTTGAATTTTAATTTTTTTTATTTTTAATTTTATAACAAATATATTATATGCCTTATAACGCTTTTAAATTATAGATATGCTATCATATATATATATATATATATATATATATATATATATATATATATATAAAGTTAAGTTAACTTCTTGGGGTGTTGATATGTGGTATGCCACATGTGCATTACTACTTCATTCAATAATGTTTTATTATATCCTATATATCCGATATATAGGATTATTTAATTAATCCATTTCTATTATAATAATGTTTTATTAATTAAAACTTTTTCATTAGTACTTCATTCAATAATGGTCATTAGTTTTGTATAAAATTTTTGTTTTTAAATAAACATGCCAATACATATTCCACTAGTTTCAAACATATGTTGTTTACATAATTAAAGTATATCTATAAAATATTTTTTTAACTTTATCGATGTTTTAAAAAATAAGGTTTTATATGGTTTTTAAAAACAATAAATCATTTCTCTTTTACTACTTTTAAAGAAAATACTTATAGAGTCTTTAGTGTATTTACATATATATTTAAATTATATTATTTTAAAAAAGATATATCATAGAGTTAAAAATATTCATCGATCACATATTATATCACTATTATAAAACTAAAATAAATAAAAGTATATATATAGAATATCAAAAATTCAGAATGTATACAAGCCCGTGCAAAGGACAAGATTAACACTAGTCTTTTTTAAAATAAAAGTTGTAGTTTTAATAATGATGCACATTTATTTATATTTATACAAATCTTTGTTTTAAAAAGTAACAAAAGTAAAAATGGTGAATAATTTTAAAAACTATATAAAGCTTTAATTTTAAAAAACTATAACACCTTTTTAAAATAAAAAAATTATTGTGTGGATTAAAATATTAAAATGTTGAAATGCATATTGGTATAATACTAAAAATGAAATGTTTTATACAAAATTAATGGTGATTGAATGTACTTATAATGAAAGTCATTTTTCAACACTAATAACTCTATTAGAATCTAGTATCTCTTCATACATTCTAAATCTATTACACTATGTTTGGTTCATGGAATTTAGAAGGAAAAGAAAAGAAAATGGTTTTCCATTAGTTTCCTCACCAAAATGAGAGGAATTTGGTTTTCCATTCTCTTAATACATTTTGCTTTCTCATTTTCTTTTCTTTCCACTTTTCTTTTCTTTTCCCCTCTAACCAAACAAGAAAAAAAGGTTTCCTTCTCATTTTCTTTTCATTTCCCTCTCAAATTCCTTGAACCAAACATAGTGTTAAAGTTCGTAGAGTTACTACCCGTAGTGGGGATTGACCATGTGACCTCTTTTTTAATTAGTATGTGTGTGTGTGTGTATGTGTGTATGTATGTATGTATGTATGTATGTATGTATGTATGTATACGAACACACTTACACATACATACATACAAAATATGAGATAGACATTACTATATTATCTTATCAAATAAATAAAGGAAATAAATAAAGTAAGTAATTAAACTTTGACAATATGAATAACAAATGAGGAGAACGTTTTATGGCAGGAGTATCAAAATAAAATTCATGTAGTATAATGTACTACGTAAAAGATAGTTGGTATAGAGTACAACTCGATTTACCGTACTTTAGGTATATCTAGGGAATACGTATTTAGATGTAATAAATGTTCATTTCGAATATTATTTATGAAATGACTTTGTAAGTTGTAACTAGTATTGCAGCACATAATTGGTCTGAAATTAGCAGGGTTGATAGAGTTTGACATCTTTGAGATGATGGTCAAACAAGTTACATTTATCTACTAAAGAGTTTTACCCTCCTTGAAAAAATCCAGCACAGGTCTAGTAAATAACTCTCCCACCACTTTCCAATGAGTCTTGAAGAAACCAGTATTAAAACCATCTGGCCTTGGACACTTATTATTTGGTTTAGAAAACACGGCCTCTTTAACCTGCTAGTGACCAAAGCATTTGACTAACCCCACTTGTTGTTCAACAGTCAGCACCTTTCCTCTCTCCAGGATATGAGGGTTAATCCAAAAATGGCCTTAGTACCCACCAAATTCTTATAAAATTTTCAAACCTATTTGCAATCTCTATCGATCCCTCTACTGTCTTACCACACCCATCTGTGAGGGAGTAAAACACAACCACAAACTAATTTCAAGATTTTTAAAATTAGTTTACCCTAATTTTGTAAGTTTGAGATTTTATAAGAAGTTGGCAATCAAGTACATTTGGATTGATTATAGGACAACATTAGTTTGAGGGACAAAATTAAGCAACTTTATTAGTGGGAAATTATACTAAAAATATGACTTATAGATATAAGGTGGAATGCTCTGCTCATTTCGAAAGAAGTTGCGAGGATCTATTTTAGATTTTACAGAAACCAACCTATAAAAATTATTCTTGAAATATTTGAGTCCCCCCAATCTGACGCATTTCCATAACTTAAATCACCCAAGTCATTTGATCCAATGTCAAGATCCCTGTAATTTATATATGCTTCTCTTGGGGACTTTGAAACAAGGGACCCATGTAGTTGTAAAACCTCTTTATCCAACTTATGTGACTTTCGGCCACGTCATCACCATCCTCGGACCAACTCACAAAATACTGGATTTTGTACAAATTTCCCGCCTTGTGAGGGAAAGGAATTTCCCATTCCGTGATCTCCTCCATTCGTCCACCGTATGGGCTCAAGATGATCAAATCGGACCGGTCTTTGCGGAGAAAGCCCCAAATCCCTTCTAATCCTTGTTCGGGGATCGGGGCTTTCACGTAATTCGATTTTGCTTTGAAGTAATTCAGTTTCCCGTTGTTCAGAATCGTGTTGAACAAAGCCTTATGATCTGTTCCGTTTGGAAACCCGTCAATGTATAGCACAGAAATAATCCAACTCATCTCAGTTAGGTCTTGCCTTGTCACCCCTAACTCTGGGAAACTCTCCTCCAAAATTGGAATCAAACGATCAATGGGTCCGAGGAATAATGTGTTGAAAAAGGCAATAACCAAATTTGTCTTCGCAAAAGAAACCACTCTGATGAATAATTCCTTGGGAAGCTTGGGAGCAACAGATTGCCATTTATACACAAGGCTCGTTACGTTTTGGTTGTGTAACGCCCCAAAATATACCCTAAAATTTATTGAATTAAATATTCAATTAAACAAAATTTGTTTTGATTAAAATAAATTATTTATTGGGCTTTGGGCCGAAATAAAATATATATTGATGTCCAATAAACATAATTGGGTTAAATCTCATAGAGATAAATCCAACCTGTTGACTTATTGTGTGATCTTGATTGGGAACCTGAGTTCAGACCCAAATTAAGAATAAATGAAGAAATTGTTTATAATGTGAACTTTGAAATGATTTATTGAAATAAATATTTATATTAAATAATATTGATTGAATGAGACTAATTTTAATAACATAATTCAATTTTTACTCTATCAAAGTCAACACCCAAAAATACACTGTCAGAAAAAGTATTTCAAATAAATATAAAAATTATATCGTTGTGTGGAGTTTAATTGTCTGATCGCAACGGTGAAAACGGATTTCAATTTGGAGAAAGTTGGACCAAAAAGTGTACTCCGACTGGAACCAAAAATGGTCCCAATCAGAGACTGTGCAGACGGCGCCTCCTTCCCCACTCAGCCGATCGTGAGTCGATTCCTACGCAACATCCTGTGTCTTGTTCTTCATCATCTTCACTATATAAAGAGCTAAAATTCCTCATCCTTCACCAAAAGTTGTGAAATTACAACCAATGTGTTCTTAAGAGTGTGGAGAGTAGAGTGGTGCTGTCCAGAGAATTGGAGGTCGCCGGAGCTAGCCACAAATCTCGCCGGAAGTTTCGCCGGAAAATATTCAAAACCTTCATTTACCTTCGAGGTAAGCCCGTTGATATATCTAATGACTAGAATGTTCGTATAGATCGTTTCTACGTTCATAAACGGTCGTTTGGTTGAGTTTTGTGTTTGACATGCTTGAAGAACCAAGAATCATAAACCTTGAAATTGTTGTTAAAACTTCAAATTAATGGTATTTAATTGATATATTAACATTGGGGAACATTTCTATAAACTTTAATTGAAGATTGGAAACCAAAAACGGAATTTTCAAAATTGGGTCGCAAGGTTGAAGAAGATGAACAGTAACCTGAAACTACGCTGCCTGGATCGATCACACTGTCTGGATCGATCACACTGCCCTGATCAATCACACTGCCTGAATCGATCACACTGCCCTGATTAGTCACACTGCCCTGATCGATCAAACTGCCTGGATCGATCCCCCGAAGTTCTGATCTGAAAATTTGTCTGAAAATGCAATTTTTGAGTTCTAAAATCCTATTTTGGATATCAATTGATTATGATCATTATAAAAATGATTTACCACAAATAAAATGATGTTTTTAACAAATATAAATGTTATGTGATGCATGACGGTAAGTTCGGGTGTTACTCCGCGAAGCTAGGCCGCTAATTATTGTTGAATATTATGTTGATTGATGATTATGGTAATAATTATAGGTTGATGATTATGATGATTAAATCTTGATATTTGTTCTGATTAAAAATGGAAATTATGAATGATTAAATCATAATGAATATATTGATGCTTGTATTGTTAAGGGTATCTAGAAGACCTCTAAGATATACCCATATTAATGTTGATTTGAAAGGTATCTAGAAGAACTCTAAGATATACCTATATAAGTTAGGCCTTGCGGGTATGATGCCCGGTGGCTAGGGTTAAAACGTACGTACGGGATCCAAGAACCAAACTTGAGTACCTACTCGTTTGGGGGTACCACCCACCAGACAGTGAACACTACGCTGTCGGTTTTTGGTTGGCCTTAAGTGAAGGTAAGTTTAAGATTTCCAAAACCCTTTTATCTTAAACTATGCCTAGCTTAAGAATTATTAGGAGTACTCTGTATACTGGAATATATTTTAATTAGTTAAACTAGAATTCATTTAAAGGTTGACAAATATTAAAGTGATTGGCCTTAGACTAAGAATAGTTTAAGGATACTGTTGAATGACAAATGATGGATATACATGTTGGATGATTGAATAATGATTGTTGAAAATTTGAATATTGATGATTGACTATCTAAACTGAACATTATGTGCATGATATCAAATGGTTGATTATGAATTGAGATTCAATTTATGTGGATGTTCGACGCATTAGATATGCTTACTCAGCTTTACCGCTGAGCGTGTAGTGTGTTTTATTTGCTACACGCAGGTCAATAGAATGATGTGACGTGATCCTGGAGGCAGACGGAGGCGAGATAGTCGGAATGGATGTGATGGTTTTAAATTAAAGAATATAAATAAATTATGTTGTGGTTATGATTTGTTAAGCTTCCGCAATATTGAAAACTCTGTACTGTTTATGGTATGAAAAATATTATTATGATAAATAAAAGTGTTTGAAAAGTTTTAAATTTTACGATTACCAAGTTAATACTTTAGTCCGAAAGGTGCTGCAGACCTGGACGGATTAGGGTGTTACAGGTTCAACGTCCTGGGTACGGTGAAAACCGTCACGATCTTGGGGACATCAAATAGTTGTACTTTCCATGAAAGAACTATGCCAAACGTATTCCCCCGCCCCCTCAGATCGCCCAAAAGAGATCTTCCCCCATTGATTTCCTATCAAGAATCTATCCGTCTACATCAACCAAATGAGCGTCCAAGAGATTATCCGTAGCAAGGCCATACTTTCGCAACAATGTGCAGTAACCTCCCCCGTTGATGTGCCCTCCGATCCCAATGGAGTGGCAAACGCCAGCGGGAAAGCCAAGAGTGGGATTTTTTTTCCGAAATTGCATAGTAAAGTTCCCCAACCGTGGATCCCGATCCCACCCATGCACTCTTTCCCAAAACATCAATGCTCACGTTTTTGAAGTTGATGAGATCAATGACCAAAAACGGATCCCCGTTTTTGGTAGTGTACGAGAGGCCTTCATAATCGTGGCCCCCACTCCAAACCCGAACTTGGAGGTCAAGTTCTTTGGCACAGCGAACGATTGACTGCACGTCAGAGTCGACTCTCGGTGTCGCTATGATGAGAGGCTTTGGGGTGCAGGACGCGTTGAACCTCGTATTCTTAATTGGAGACTGTAGGATCGACTAGAATGAAGAGTTTTTTTCAATGTAAACATCATTGTTGAGAGTGGATTGGTTTTTTGATGACCGAATTAGACACTGGGAACTCTTCGAGAAGGGAAGAAGCTCATGATGCGTGGAGTGGATTTGACCCCGGGCAGGCCCCGAAAAATGAAAAAGTAAAATTGGCCCGGTCCAAAATTTACATTTTGTGCCCTATTTTATATTTTTAGAATATTTTTGCTTTAAAATTATTAATAAATTTAAAAATATGGTACCCTAAATTTTAAGGTGTCCTGTGCAGTTGGCCACTTTGCACACCCTCTGGGCCTCCCATGTTTTATTTTGACCCAAGAAATATCAAAGTAAGGAAGAAAAAGAAAAATGTGTTTAAAGTTTTCAGTTTGTTGATTAATTGAAGAGAGGGAGGGAATGTACCCAATAATTTTGTCTCGTTGGCATGGTTTTAGATACTGCCTCATGTGCAAATATAGGCTAACTTCACGTTTAGGTTCAAAGAGAACATTTTCATTTATTCTATAGGTAATGATAAACAATTCTTGGGTCAAACAAACAAACAGCTCAAAAAATTCATAAGCCCCGTTTGGTACATGGAATTCAAACGATGGAATTGGAATTGAGGAATTCAATTCCAATTCTAATGTTTGGTAGAACAATAATTATGTGGATTTGGAATTGATAGTGCAAAAAATGTATTGGAATTGGTGAATTCAATTCTATGGAATTGAATCCCATAGAATTTCAATTCCAATTCCATCAATTCCATATACCAAACGGACCCTAAATTTGTCTTTTTGACATTTTCCTACAAGTAAGATGCATCCAAATAATAAAAGATATTTTAATTTAAAATTTTCAAAAAGCAAGTTTGTAAAGTTTGTGAACTATTTGTTTGTGACCCTACCATTTTCCTTATTTTATTATTTTTTGAGGGAAAGAACAGTTCATATTTAGTACGGAGTAATGAATGTAAACCGTTGTTACCATTTGAGTAAATACTTTGAACTCTTGGCATCACCTGGAACATTTTAATCAAAACCTGCTCCACAATTACCATCTAAGTAATTTAAAAGAATTGTCCAAAAGGGAAAATATGTAAATATATTTTTAGTCCGTAGTTGGCTTGTTGTTGAATACTACAAATTATTTTCTCCATTTACTGCATATTTCTTTCATTTTATTACCCCTCCCAAAGAAGAAAATTTGCACGAAATATTCATGCACATTCAGAGTTGAGTGATGCTTATAGATCTAAGATTGCTACCTGCATATTAGAAAGCCTATATTGTACACGGATGTACCTGGAGTTAGGTTCACGCAACAAATGTTCATTTTGAATCAACGTGGTGTTCATTCTAGAGTAACGTAGAATTCATTTTAATTCACACATTTGTTCATTCCAATTATAAAATTCGCCTAGGAACGTATTATTTATTCTAAAACAATGTAATATTCATTTCAAGCCTGCTCAACGTAGGGTTCTATTTGAAATAACTTAATTACAAATTTGTCATAATGTACAGTACATCCGGTTATACCATATAAACTGTATACATGTTACACAAGAAATAGGGTCAAAAGGGAATAGTGTTAGGTCATGTTCTCTTCATCTGATCTAATTGGAATAAGTTCTGATCTGATCCGGTTTGATCTTGATGTAATTATATTTAAAGTTATTCCTAATCTGATCTGGTCTGATCAAATTCTAATAAGAATAAATAATAATAAAAATAAGTTGAGAAGAACATGGCCTTAGTACTTATATCAGTGTACAGTATTCAGTATTTTCTGTACATTTGCATGAATACTCATTTTTGATTGACAGAATACACATTTCAAATATTTATTTATTTTAGTATATATTCAAAACATTTACATTACAAAATATGTATGTGTTCATTTTAGAACTACATAATGTTCATTACATTCATACAGAATGTACATTTACGAGTAACACAATATTCATTCCAATTAAAATGAAGACAGATATACAACTAAAATAAAGAAATACGCGAAATGAGCATTCAGTTACTCATAAAAGAGTTCATTCGCCACGAATCTACGGAAAACATCGTAAATGCAATTGTACCACATATATTGCCATATTTTTAAGCCCATTTTTGGGAGCAAATAATATTATTGAAGGCTTCTACATTATACAACATTTTATAGGTAGAAATACACTCATGTACATTCTCAATTAGCATAAAAAGAGATAGATGGAGCTGATTGAGCATGAACACTACAGTAAATCTTTTGTTCTAGTTGTAAACATGAAAGCCATGCACAATAGTTTGGACATGGAAAAGAAAATAGTGTATCTCAGACGATTGTATCTGAGATGCAAAACTTCAAATTATTGCCTATTTACTTGGGGGAAATCAGCGCCGATATCTTCCTCTATTGCTCATTCATTGAGCATGTGCATTTCCTCTGGTGCTCAGTCAGTTCCTGTTATACATTAGGTTTCATTCAGGGAACTCTGACCACACTTCAACCATGAAAAAATTATAAAATCTGATGCCTTCTTCTGGTACAAAAAGTTCTGAGAAAAGTTCGGTTTTTTTTCTTTCGCGAGGGGAATGGAGTGTACCCTAGGATTCGAACCTATGTTTCAACATATAAAAACACACACCCAACAACCTCAGCTAGCCCCGAGTATATACAGGTTTGGTTAAACACTAAATTAACAAATTCTTGAGTTGCTTGAACTACCTGAATCTGTGTCTGTAGAAATTTGACATATTCTACCGCTTCTTCCAACATGTCAGCTGTATTAGTTTGCTGAGTGGCATCAAAGTCAAAGAGTCAGGAACTATTAGTAACCCAAAAACTGAAAAGAAAATATATTGGAAGCAGATAAACTCAACCATTCTTCATCACAGCGTATACATTTAGCTAATAGTCTAACATAAATAATACTGATGCACAGAGCAAAGTAGGTTCAAGTCATATTGCATATAACAGCACATGAAGAAATCAAATATAGCCAGAATGTCCAACTCAACCACGATCCACCAAAAAAGTAGTAGCATTAAACTTCCTTGGAACACTACAGATAAATCAAATTTCATGATTAAAAATAGTGTTTTGATCCAATAAATCAACTCATGGAATAACTGATTACTATGCCTTGTGGAAGAAAGGGCAGCATAGTCATATGTAAATTTGAAATGCAGCATTCTGCGCATAATGCCTAAAATGAAAGATACAAGCCAAAGCTAGTACTTTCTAGCAGTCTAGCAGTCTGTGCTATAAATGTATAAAATTTATTCACTAATACTAAATTTGGCATTAAAAGATCAAATTGTATACAAATAAATTACATTGATTTGCTGTAGTTGTTTATGTAAATAGAATCACACACAGAAAGAGGGAGGCTGAAGAAAGATGGTGTAATAATGAAGAAACATTTATAGTTGAAAACTTGAAAAATCCCCCCAAAATTAGAAGTTTTTAATTACCTTATCCATATTAGGCACAAGCTCCTGAAGCTTCCTTATCCGGTCACTTATTCGTGTTCTTCTTACCTGTTTCCAAATTAAATGAAAGAAAAAACATTAAAAAGTTTATTATGAAATGCATAACTGATCATCTTGGAAAAAGTCTTGTAGTTATCCCATATCGGCTAAGTATAAATGAATGAACCCCATAAAAGTATGAGGTAAACCTCACCTCTTGAGAGCTCATTGATAACGTGTTAAGAATAAGTGTTAGGCCTAAGTCACCCAAAAAGTGCTCTAAAGAGGTGAGGTTTACCTCATACTTATTAAGGCGTTTATTTATTTATATTTAGCCGATGTCAGATAAATCCAACACAAAGTGTCTATTACACACCAATGTTCACTGAAAAGTTACAGCTATCTTCTTTTCATGTACAATTAAGTACTGGAATTTAAATTTTCCCCCATTCACAACTTCAAAAATTTCTTATCACATGTCTCAGTAGTGAAGGGAAAAAGAGAGCCCAAGAAAAAAGCAATACCCTCTCTGCTATGCTTCGCGGATGAGTAGCACAACCACGCTTTGCTCGTACCCTACATGGAACTAAATCGTCCATCATTTTCTCCATTTCCGCATCCAAAGACCCACCAGCACTGCATAAACGCCTACTATGTTCTCCTTTCTTAAAGGCAGAGAAGTGATACAAAAATAAAACAAAAAAAAACATCAATGAGTAACTCAAGGAATCATATGGATAATATGCTAACCTCAACTTAACAGTCGTTGTTCTCTAGGTTTACTGTGAATGACTATAGATAAAGGGTGTGGAAAAATATAACGCAGAAAACATTCTTTTTCCATCCCTCCATGCTATAACAAGCCGCTTCCTCTCAACTCCTCTCCAATGGATTCAGAAAATAGGTGTAAGAACATAAAAGCAATGAAAATTACAAAATGTATAAACTTATGGTCATGACTAAACATTACCTAACTTATAATTTTCAATGTTTAAGAAGAGAACTCAAGCACAAAAGTTTTTTGGGCTCACAAAAATGAAACTTTTTCAAAAGAGCCATTCATCAATACTTAAATGTGATTAAGAAAATAGATGTGTATAATAAATACTATGCAATCGAGAGCCCCCAGATTTCTAAGGATGTAATAATGGAATGTTGATTAGTACTTAAAATATGAAAGTTACTACACATTCACAATGCAAGTTTAACTTAACCAGTGCAGCCACTGGAGCTTATTTTTAATCTCAAGAATTAAATGCTTTGAAATATTTTACGTAGTATTAGAAAGATATGCTTCTGAATGAGAAACCATACAAAGACATAAATCTCCATTGGGAGCACTAAGCCACTAACATTATGTTTTGTTCAAGGAATTCAAAAGGGAAAAGAAAAGATAATGGTAAGAGAGAAAAGCTTTGCTGTTTGGTTAGAAAGGAAAAGAAAAGAAAAGAAAAGGTAAGGAAAATGTATAGTAAAATTGGAAATATGACTTTTCTTCAATTTTTGTGAGGATAAGAAGCGAACACAACAAATTTCTCCTTCCCCTTCCCCTTCCACCTCCCGCTTCACTCCACCCACTCCACCCTCCATCCTCCTCCCGCGCCCCCCACTCCCCCCCCCCCACCACTCCGTCTTTGGGCAATGTTTTTTTTACTCTACAACAACCAACATCATTGAAAAATACTTTGATCACCAATATCCCTACTAACAAAACACAGATTTAGATGCTTTTATTTTTTTTGACTTTCTTTTTCTTTTCATAGCATTTCCCTTTCTTCCGTGATTCCCCAAACCCAACACAGTGCAAGGGTCATCTATTCACAAAAGGGAAGTAAGAAAACAAAGAATATAATATATTTTGCATATTAATCATCTTTTTTCCATTCTTGGGTCAAAATTATACAGAGTACGAGATGAAGAATCACATCTGGAGTATTCTTTGGGGACAAAACTTACAACTGTGTTTAAGTTAGAATTAGGTAAAATGACCTAACAAGTCAAAAGCCCAATTCATGACTATTTGACTAACACCTCTTCATAACCAATGGCAGTTCATGCATCATTCTCAATTCCTCCAACAAAAAAGGGTGAAAACAGTATAAAAGTAGCCATAAGCAAAACTATAAAAGTAGCCATAAGCAAAAGTTGAGCAAATAGCGCACACAGCCCACATATAAACTCAAGGAAATTCTATTTTTACCAAGGGAGAAGATAATTTGGAAACTGGGCTCTGTGAATCGGCCTCTCTTGACCGCTTAGCTGACTGAGACACATCAATGGGAGAAGAAGCATACTCGTAATTTGATGGAATTCCAAAAGCAGGAAAGTACACATCTGAGCTCATCTGAGAAACAAACTCCGGCGGAGAGCTGTTCTGCCGAATGAAATTGTTTGCTCCAGAAGCCGCCTCCACGCTGCCGGAGAACACGCCCAGATCGGCGGCGAATCTGGAGCCACTTCCGCAGACAGGCGGCTGCTTAAGCTGAGCTGGTGATGATGATGATGATGATGGAGTAGGCAAGGGTTGAGAGAGGGGGTGTGGCGGTGGCCTGTTAGAAGATGGGAGCACAGGGGGGTCGAGAACGACGTCGTTCTCGGTGTCCGAATCGAGGAGCGCTTCCAACCATGCGGCAGGAGCAGAGAGGAACCGGGTCAGTCCTGCTGCTCGGTTCAGCTCGCTCCTGGTTGTTCCTCTGCCGCCGCCGCAACTCTCCGGCTGCATCATCGATGAATTCCTATCTCCCGTTATCCTCGTTTTTCAGGTGAATTTTGTGGTATTACTGTAAGCAGAGGCAAAAGAAGAAGAAGAAACGAGAAAGAGATGGAGAGGCAGAGCTTTTTATTGTTCTTTACTAATACTTCCCTGCCTGTGAAAGTGTAAAACAAGAGTTCATAAATCTGCTTACTGTAAAATTGTTTTTAGGATGATGCTAGGGGTACACTACCTTAAATGTCCCCCACCCCCTCAATAACCATTCATTTTTATTTCATTTTTATTTAATTATTTTTTTTTTTTGAATTTTCTTGCCTTTTTTTGTGGACAAGGAAGGGGTGGGGGACATTTGGGGTACACCTTTGGTGTACCCCTAGCATTTTCCTTATTTTTATTATCATTGTAAATTTCAGGCTTAAAATTAAATCTCTTATATATTTTCTCCGGGGCTAATAGAAAGGGTGTTCTTTGTAGTTTACAAAAAAGGTGTCAAAATTCCATTTGTTTTAAAAGTTATTTGTAAAGCCCTATGGTTTCTAAATAAAGCACACATGTCCCTCTTACCTATTTTAAAAACAAAAATGATATTTATGCCCTTTCTTTTTCTCGATCTTGAATTTTCCTCATATTATTTTCTTTTATTATATAAATATATAAAATAAAATATACGCTTCCCTTCTCAAATTTAAATTTTACATAATCTATTTCTGAAACCAAAATTTTTTTTAGGGAATGTTATAAAAGAAAATGAAAATAAAATACGGAGTATTATGTACAAATTAAAAAGAATATTTGAAAAAAGGTAATTAAAAGAAAGAAAAATAAAAAAACAGTCTTTTTCTTTAACTCTATATTTTATTTCATTTCTCTGTTCTTCAGCTTTTAAAGTCCTTACAAAATTATTTTACTTTTAAAAAATAAATAATTTAGAATTTTTAATTAGAGATAAAGTAAGTATATGTTATCTAATTTTTATTTTATTTATTTTACTTTTACTGATAATGAAAAAGTGTATTTTATTTCATTTTTTAACTTTTCATTTTCTTTTACTCTATCTACTTTTAGTCCATTAACGAGTGTGTTGAATATGTTATCAAAGACATTCTTCTCAATATCCATGACGTCCAAATTGTGGCGTACAAGTAGACGTGGCAAAACAGAACCGGAACCGATTACCCGAACCGAAATATTCAAAACCGAAACCGAAATGACCCAAAATATGAAGATCCGATCTATAACCGAAAACCCGAAATGATCCGAATCGAACCGAAACCGAACTAAATAATTCATATCCGATTTAAATCAGAAACCGATTAGATCCGAAACCGATAATATCCAAACCGATTAAACCCGAAACTAATTAGATCCGAAATCGATAATACCCAAAATCGATTAAATCCGAAACCGATAATATCCGAACCCAATTAGAACTAAAATCGATAAATTTGGAACTATATGTGCCTTTCAATAAGCATATTATATTTTTAAATTTTTTATTTTGTTTTATATTTTGAACTAATTACATTACTTGTTCATTCCCTCATAAAATGGATTATCTTCTTGAAAAAAAGTATAAAATTCCATGCCTTGAATTTTTTATATGTAGAAATTAAAAATAAGTTATACATATAAATGATAACGCACAAACAAATAAAATTTCCATAATTTTTAAATAGTGAAATGTGATACGGAGTATTCTTTTTTGGACGAAAGGATTATATTCTTTTTATGGAATAACTAGATTTTATCCTAATTTCATCCTATTACCATAAATTTTATTGATTTGAAAGTTAATTTGATTAGTTTCAAACCAATTCACTAAATATTAGGGAATAGAATAAGATGCTAGTGTTAGCGTTTTGAAAAGACGCTCTAGCGACATCATTTAGTGTTATCATTTTTAAATTTGATCTACACTATTACATTTAGGTGTGAAAGTAAATATATTTGACTCTATTAAATTTAATTGTATATATTTTTACCCAAATACACTCGATAATTTATAAATTTTGCACTAAATTGAATAAACTTCACTTAATTTCACTCAATTGTTACCAAATTGTATTCAAATGGAACATAACACTATTTGAACTTATTTTTTATCTTTTCATTTATAAACATAAGTATATTAGTAGATGTGAGAAAAATTTGATATTTCAAAACTAAATTTTAAAATCAATTTAATTATATTAAATTTATATCATAATTAAATATATATGTTTTCATAATTTGTAACCTAAATTTGTAAAATATGACTAAAAAGTCAAAAAGGGAAGATTATTTAGGGTAGAGATAATACAATTTGAAAAAAAATGTGAGGTATTCAATTGATGATCGATTGATAAATGTGATAAAACATAAAAAGCAAATGGATAGTTAAATTTAATTAAAAAATAATATATAACCAAAATATATTTGATCCGAAACCGAAATATATTCAAACCGAACTAGACCCGAAACCAAAATATATCTGACTCAAATTGTATCCGAACCGAAATCTATCCGAACCGATTTATAATCAAACCGTATCTGAACCTACTTGAAACTGAACCGAACCAAATAATGTATAGAACCAAATCAAATCCGAACCGAATTTTAACCGATCCGATCCGAACTGAACCGATTATAACATATAACCTGTAACGCCCAGAAAATAGGCCTATCAAAATTAATTAATTGATAATTAATTAATTACTGAAAAGGACCCAAAAATAAGTAAAATTTAAAGTTTGTCAATAATTAATGAAAATTATATCGTTGTGTATAGTTTGATTGTCTGACCCCAACAGTTCAATCGGATTTTAATTCGGAGAAAAATGGACCAAAAAGTATACCCCAACTGGGACCAAATTAGTCCCAATCAGGGATATTGTACAAAATCCTGCAACGGCGCCGCTCACTCCACTCACAGCCGCTAGAATAGGGTTGAGCTTGGCTTCTTCTTCTCCTCTCTATTACATAAGGAAGCCTAACTTCCTCAATTCTTCATCAAAACACTCCATATTTCCTACTATTCTGTTCTTTGTTGAGAGAGGAGGGCACTGGTACTGTCAATTTGGTGTAGAATCGCCGGAACTAAGTGTTATCATCGCCGGAAGTTTCGCCAAAAAATCTTCAAAACCTCCACTACACTCCGAGGTAAGCCCGTAGATATATCTAAATTACTAGAATGTTCATATAGGTCGATTTTACGTTCATAAATCGTCATTTGGTTGAGTTTTGTGTTAAACATGTTTGAAGAACTAAAAATCACAAACCATGATTTTGATGTTAAAACTATGAATTAATGATGCCAAAATGATCTATGAACCTTGGAAACATTTTTATATACTTTAATTGAAGTTTGGTAAGTAAAACTGACATTTCCGCAAATTGGCTCGAGGTAGAAGATGATGGATAATCGATTATCAACTTGAAAATCGATTATTCATCGTTCTGCAGATTTCTGGAACAGAGCTGAGCAATAATCGACTGTCAGAATGTGACAATCGACTATCAGCCCTCTCTGAAGTTTGATAATCGATTATCAGAGTGTGATAATCGATTATCAGCTCATTCTGAACATCAGATAATAGATTATCAGAAGTGATAGTAGACTATCTCCCTACACTATTGAAGAAAATGAAGCTAGTAGTTAATAATTGAATTTTTTATCATATATTAATCAATTATTGTTTAGAAAACATGATTTTTGAACTATGAAATCCTCTTTTTGATACCAATTAATTATGAATAATATAAATATGATTTTGTACAATAAAAATGATGTTTTGACATGTAAAACATTATTTGATGCATGACGGTAAGTTCGGGTGTTAACATTCGATACTAGGCCGCTATTTGTTATCAAATATTATGATGATTGTTTGATTATGGATTGTGGTGAATTAATGATGAGGAAAATTCTGAATGACGATCATGAATTGTTAAATTTAGAATAATGAATCAATGAATTGTATTGTTAAGGCTACTTAGAAGACCTCTAAGATAGACCTCTGATTAGAATAGGCCTTGCGGGTATTAATATGTATACTCGGTGGCCTTGGATAAAAACGTACGTACGGGGTCCATAAACCAAACTAGAGGAACTCGTTTGGGGATACCACCCAACCCGACAGTTAGTATTCTACTGTTCGGTTTTCTGGATTTGTACCTTAAGCGAAGGCTAAATTAAGAGTTGGTAAATCAATCGAAATATGTGTACCTTAAACTAATGACCTAGCTTAAGAGTTGGTTAGAATTACCTTGAACTAGAAATAGTTTAAGAGTTGGTTAGAAGTACCTTGAACTAGAATTAGTTTAAGAGTTGGTAAACATTAAAAAGATTGGCCTTAGACTAAGCGTAATTTAAGGATATTGTTGAATATTGATTATTGAGATATTGAAATAAAAACATTGGTAATATCATGAATGAATCATATATTGTTTTGCATGATATCAAATGGTTATTTGTGAATTGAGATTCAACTTATGTGGATATTCGACGCTTTAGATATGCTTACTCAGCTTCACCGCTGAGCGTGTAGTGTGTTTTATTTGCTACATGCAGGTATGCAGAATGAATGATTGGCATGATCCTGGTAGCGGATGGGGCGAGACTGTCGTGATGGAATTTGTGATTTTAAATTAAATAAATGTGTTGTTATTAAACATGGTTCAAATTGCTTCCGCATTTCTATTAAACACTCCATATTTTGCTACAGTTATGTATTAAATAATATTTATGATGAATAAAAGTATTTGAGATGTTTAAATTTTATGATTAGCAAGTTAATACTTTAGTCCAAAAAGGGCTGCAGACTTGGACGGATTAGGGTGTTACATAACCGAAAGATATCCGAACCAAAACAATCCAACCCGAAACCGATCCGGTTGACCCGATTGCCACCTATACGTACGAGTAAGTCCTTCCAATAAGGTAGTTCCCAAACAATACTCTTTTTGGTCCACTCATGCTCTGTTCCATATCCGACATGGTCATTTCTTGGACTCTCTACAACTGTAGCAAAATCATGCACTCGTTCAAATGTCAGAGATCCATCCAAAGAGGGTGTGGTGGACGCCTTTGTGAAATGATTTTTTGTCCCTGCGGTACGTATTATTTTGAGGTAAAAATTGCCTGTGACAATCAAAGTAACTTGGCTTTCTACCATGTTGCAGATAAAACGACTTTGACCATTCCATACATATATCAGACAACTTTTTAAACCTTTTGTACTCCATCTAGAGAGCATACTATACACAAGGAAATCACTAATGGTCCAAATCAATGCGATCTTCATGTTAAATACTTGGTCTCTAGACACATCATATGTTGGGACTCTTACATCCCAAGAATGTCTTAAGTCGTCGATCATTGGTTGCATATATACGTCAAGCCATTTATTGGGATTGTGTGGACTTGGGCTAATCAAAGTTGGAAGCAAAAACCCACTTCGCATATACATGTCTGGCGGAAGATTATATGGCGTAATCATCACAGGACAGCAAGAGTATTGTGCCCCAAACTGTCCATGGGGGGCAAATCTGTCAGTGCAAAGACCAATACGTACATTGCGTGGTTCACACACAAAATAGGGATGACATCAATTGAAGTGTTTCCATGCCTCAGAATCTGAGGGGTGACACATTAAACCACTCTCAATTTCATGTTCAACATGCCGGGTCATGTGTTTTGCAGTCATTGGGCAGGCGTACAACCACTGTAAACACTGAATAAACGGTAGATATATCAGCTTCGATTGAGCACAATGCTTGCGAGGCTTCCCTCGTATTTTGCTCATAGACTTGTATCTAGACTCACCGTAAAATTTGCATGTCTCTAATTGGTCATCATTTTTCCAGAATAACATGCAACCAGCCAGACATGCATCAATTTTTACCACTGAGAGTCCTAGCACAGAAATCATCTTCTTTAAATTGTAAAAATTAGTAGGCAATTTGTGTTCCCTTGGTAACGATTCGGCCTCTTGGAGATCCCAGTCTAACTTAATACTCAAGATTTCAGACACGACACCTAATGTTGATTTCTAATCGCAATCGGTATATAGCGGTTCATCAGCTGCTATTAACACCTCCAAAAATCGATCAGACAACGTATTCACATCATCGTGATGTTGATAAGATGATGAGCTCGGAACATCATCAATAGAAGACGATGAAGGAAAATGTATTAGGTGCCATAGTTTCATACACATATCGTTGGTCTCAAGCCATGTTCTCATAATTACCCCAAACAGATACTAGTTGTGGAACTACGCAAGAACTTCCAACTGTCTGAAGAAAATATGATGGACTTAATCCTTCACCTTGACAATATAATAATTTTCAACGAAACCTTCTATGTATAGATGCCAACGCAAATAATCCTCTGTGACAAAGCACATATTTTTACATTTGCTACAAGGACATCAAATTTTTTCATCATCAAGAAATTGTGTTTGAGCAGATGCAAATGTATTAAATTCTTTTACACCATCAAGAAATTCATGTGTCAAACAAAGTTTAAGCAAAGCATTTTTATTGTACATCCAACTTCTTGTTGATATTGACATAGTACTTGAAACACAATTGCTAAAAAGCGCATAAATTATAAATATATGGAGAAATATATACCAATCAATAGTAAAATAATTTTGAACATGGAATAACTAATTCATCTAAATTCTTATTTCAAAATATTTAGAAATGTCAAGTATGCACGATGTAGTCGTGCCAAAATCTAATTACTCAAAATCACGTGTCACAGTGTCACCTCATGCAGCAACTCCACTTTTGTCGCGACCGTTGGCAAGGACTAGGCGTGCCTACAACTAGACCTGGAAAAACAGAAGCGGAATCGATTACCCGAACCGAAATATCCGTAACCAAAACCGAAATGACCCGAAAAATGAAGATCCGATCTATAACCGAAAACTCGAAATGTCCGAATCGAACCAAAACCGAACTAAATAGTTCATATCCAATTTAAATCTGAAACCGATTAGATCTGACACCGATAATATCCGAACCGATTAAACCCGAAACTGATTAGATCTGAAACCGATAATACCTAAAACCGATAAAACTTAAAATAGATTATATTCGAAGCCGATAATATCCGAACTTGATTAGAACTAAAATCGATAAATTCGGAACTATGTTTGCCTTTTAATAAGCATATTATATTTTTAAATTTTTACTTTTATTTTACCATTTGAACTAATTACATTATTTGCCCATTCCCTCATTAAATGGATTATCTTCTTAGAAAAAAAGTACAAAATTTCATGCCTTAAATTTATTATATGTAGAAATTAAAGATAAGTTATACATATAAATGATAACGCACAAACAAACAAAATTTCTGTAATTTTTAAATAGTGAAGTGTGATATTCTTTTTGGGACGAAAAAATTATATGATAAATTATATGGAATAACTAGATTTTATCCTAATTTGATCTCATTACAATATGTTTTATTGATTTGAGAGTTAATTTGATTAGGTTTGAACAAATTCCCTCAATATTGGTCAATAAAATTAGTTTCAAACCAATTCACTCAATTGAATAAAATTCACTTAATTTCACCCAATTTTACTCAATTTTTACCAAATTATATTCAAATGGAACATAACACTCTTTGAATTTATCTTTTATCTTTTCATTTATAAACATAAGTATATTAGTAGATGTGAGAAAAATTTGATATTTCAAAACTAAATTTTAAAATCAATTTAATTACATTAAATTTATATCATAATTAATTATATATGTTTTCATAATTTGTAGTCCAAATTTGTAAAATATGACTAAAAAGTCAAAAAAGAAAGATTATTTAGGGTACAGATAATAGAACTAGAAAAAAATATAAATAGTATGAGGCATTAAATTGATGATAGATTGAAAAATATGATAAAACATAAAAAGAAACATGGATAGTTAAATTTAATTAGAAAATAATATATATCCAAAATATATTTGATCCGAAACCGAAATATATCTGAACCAAACTAGACCTGAAACCGAAATATATCCGACTCAAATTGTATTCGAACCAAAATCTATCCGAACCGATTTATAACCGAACCGTATCTGAACCGACTCGAAACCGAACCGAACCAAATAATGTATAGAACCAAATCAAATCCGAACCAGAATTCAACCGGTCTGATTCGAACCAAACTTATTATAAGATATAACCGAAAGATATTCGAACCGAAGAAATCCAACCCGAAACCGATCTGGTTGATCCGATTACCACCTCTACCTACAACCAATTTTTTTAAAAAAATGCCACTCAACTATTTCTATTATTAAAAAATACTCTAGAAAATTGATTTCTTATTTTTACCATAAATTATGGAAACAATATATTACTCCTTATTTCAAAAATTAATTTCATATTTTTACCATAAATTAGGGAAACAATATACTCCGTATTACATTAGCATATAAACTTCATTTCAATATACTTATTTTGAAATATATGTTTGATATAATATATTTTATAATATATATCCATATATAAATGGAGAAACATTAACCGTTAAAGTGTTGCATTGAAATATTGAAAAAGTCAAATAAAAAGAATTTTTTTGGAGGGAGAGAGTATAATCTAAACAAATGCAAATAAAAATTAATAAATAACTACTTTATTTTTTAATTTTTAAAACTTGATGGTAAGAATACTTACGGAAGGATATAATCAAATTGAAACACCGGAAAAATATTTACTAGAACACCAAATATAAAGAGTATTTTGTTGTCTTCTATTTCATCAAAATAATGCATATAATATTTTTTTTGAAAACATATTTATGACAATATTCTTATATAGGGATTTCAGAACTAGTTTTTTTGGCACACATTGTAGGCACGAAATTGATTATAAAAGTGAAAATAATTATTGGCATTCATTAGGCACACTTATTTGGCACGGGATATCCGTGGCTGAAATTAGGCACGACATTTGGCACATCTTTGTCCCGACCAGATATTAAAAATTAACGTTGCCCGACGGAATGGAAACGGCGTAAAGGTTGTGAACTTGGCACGGACACGACAGTGCCAAATGCGGACCCGCATAGCGTTTCACCATGTGGCATTTACTCTCCATTGGCAAAGGCACGCCACAATCCATGCCTAATGCGCAGTTGTTTGGTAGTGAGTATTTTCGAGAAAAAAGAATATTAGATTATTAATATTTTTAAAGAAAATTGAAAGTCAAAGATTGTTACTTAGTACTCGATTCATAGCTTAAATCGATACAAATGACATCATGGAAACTTTCTAATGATAATTCATGGTGCAAATCAAACAATCAGTAAGAACAAGGCAGGATTGAAACATGAAAAAAACACTTTGGAACACAATTACTAACTAGTCTCCTAATTATTGCTTTTAATTGAGATAATAGAATGATTGTAATAAACAAAAGTATATTAAATGATGCGGAATATGATACCACATGTTCACTTCTGATTGATCAATGTGTTGAGTGTACCAAAACCCTCAATTTTAAATATGTATAAAAAATCAGAAAATAAGGAATAACTAGTGTTAACCCCGTGCTTCGCACTTACTTGTATATATAATAAATTTTGATACTCTCCAAATATAATTTTATTTATTTTAGATTTCTAATAGTGACATTATATGTCTTAGATGTATTTTTATTAACTCTAAGATATACTCTCTATCTTTTTTTAAATAGAAACTATAGTTTAAATATTTATGTACATACACTAAAAATTCTTTAAGTATTTTGTTTAAAAGTACTAAAATAGAAATGATAAATTATTTTTATAAAATCATATGAATTTACTTTTCAAAATATCAACAAAGTTTTAAAAAAATTAGATATAATTTAAGTAAACAAAATATATTTTAAAGTGGTGAAATATATATTGATATGTTAATTCAAAAACAAAAGTTTTTATACACAACATTATTAAAGTAATGGTTTTTTAATACTAAAATATAATATTCCTTTCAAATGCAATAAAATGTATTTAAAAAGCTAAATGGACCAATTAAATGTAATCCACCTCATTAATAGGTGCAGATGTGGATGCACATGTGACATGCCACATGTCAACACCAAAACACATAAACTTAACTTTACATATATATACTAGTATTCTGACCCGTGCCATGCACGGGGTCAAACGCAATTTATGTTGATTCTGAATTATTTCAATGAAATTTATTTTTTGGTATGGTTAAAATTTATTGTGCAAATTAATTTTAATAATACAGATGAAATAATATTAACTTTAATAAATAATAATTGTGGAACAGAATGTAGAGTTAATAATGTTTATTTTAATACCGAATTTCTGAAAGACTTCAGGGTATACGACATTTTTGGTATGGTTGCAATAGTTTTCATTGTCATCTAGAACCAATATCTTTAATAATGTCTTTGTCTTCACTCGTGAAACATCAACATATAGCGGACCATGTGTGAACACCGACTTGGTTAAAAATAACCCCACAAATGACAATGTTTGACCTTGACTTTTGTTGATAGTCATAGCAAAACATAAGGCGATGGGAAATTATCTTATTTGGAACCTCAATGGTAGGCCTAGATCAGATGGTATCAAGTTCATTCTAGGGATGTAAACTTTTTCCCCGATTGGATTTCATGAAACCACAATTGCATCGATAACATTATTTCGCAGCTCTTGACGATTAATCTTATCCCATTACACAATCCTGATGTTTGGTCAATTGTAACACCCTCAAGTTGGAAAATTTTAACCTTCAAGTACAAATAAATGAGAAGTGTTAAAAATTTAAAAATTTAAAAAAAAATATGCAAAAAAATAAAATAAAATTTAAATGTGAATAAAAAATGTCACTATTCCATAAGTATAAAAAAACTAATAACAAATTAGAATTAACACTTTAATGATCAAATTATTAGATGGGTAGAATAAATAAGTAAAGGAGAAATTTACCTAAATAAGACTAAAACATAATGACTTTCCCAATATAGGATCATATGTTTTTATTTCCTAATGTAG